TTACCTTCAGGGTCATACGTCACATGAAGACCAAAATAGTTCCAAACGCCAGATCTGAATGAGGGTGGGGGAGGTTCAATTTGCCATGTTGCAAGGAGAGCTTAACTTCTGTCTCGCTAGCTTGCCCTGCGCTCAGTGAATCTGCGTTCGACTACTCCGCCTAGGCTGCACTGTCGAGCGCAGATCCACTGAGCGCTCAACACAGACAGCATCGTCAGAAGGAAAGTTGATAAAATAAATTAAAAAATTTTGTATTGTTCGATACATATGCGTACCGAACCGAAAGCACTGTATCGAACGGTTCAATATCGATACGAGTATCGTTGCACCCCTAATATATCTATATATTTCTCTGCTATTTCTCTGATTCCAATGATGTTTCTGCGATAAAATTTCATCAAAAGTATGGATTACTGCATTGAGAATCCTGTAACCACTTACTAACTCAGATTTCGGGAGGAAGGTTTATAAAATGCCAAACACTTATACACCACTTTGCGTTTAATCATTTGTTTTGTCGTGTAAAAAGTGAACTAAAGTGCGTTTACCTGAAATTGTACTGTTCCGACCTCCTCCAGTTCAAATGGTGAGTTCTCTTCCCTTTTAATCAGTTCTTCTGCAGCATTGAAACACTTTTCCCATTGTCCTTCCTCAATCATTGTCTTCAGGAAATCAGTCAGCTTTTCTTTTGCCTTTTTCCTTAAAAACTCTTTCCGCACCATCCCCTCTTCCTCTAAAATCAGTTTGTAATAGGATTTTCTTCTGTCAAAATGACTTGATATTTTACAGCATTTCCTCCAATTAATTAATGATATCAGTGCTGTTGCTCCATTGACAAACATGAGCAAAAAGTAGCCAACTCTCTGAAAAAGAAACACAAAATGCATTCATATTGTTGTGTTAATATGACAGGTTCAAACATATGAAACAGGAAGAAAATACCACTAACCCTGGACTCGTTGTTCAGCTCAGTGATGCGTAGTCGCTCCTCAATAGTGAGCTTCCACTTGTCTTTGCAGGGTAACTGTACCTCTTCAGTTCTGTTAGAGAGATGGCTCATACAGCAGACATACCAGTCTCCAATGAAAAACAGATATGCAGCCCAGAGCACACTAACCAAAATTGCCTTTAAAAAGTGACGGAGAAAAGAACCGCAAAACCTGCAGCATTTAGAGCGACATGTACCATCACATGTGTATTTAAAAACTCTCTGAAAGGAACTGTTTGTCCACAGCATTAAGAGAAATATCATTAGAGCAGGCAGAACCATGTAAATTCTGCAGTCAGACACTTGTGATTTGCAAGTGCATTCAAAGTTGCCGCTAAATAAAACAGAAATGGTAAAGATCACAATGATGACAATGTAGGTACGCCGTTTTCCCGAAGCAAGATTTGTGATTAAGGCCTCCATCTCTGATTCGATCTGCTGGTATCCTGCTTATACCCTCTGAAAATATACAGTACTAACAGGAAACCAAACACTTCCTGTTTTCAAAGTATGTGCACATATAAAACTGCAAACATCCTGATTATAAGACATTGTTTTGCACCTTTAGACAATCATAAACAGTTATGAGTTCTTCAAACAAAGTAAACCAGCACATTTTTATGTGACATAAATTTGTACCATGACTTCTCAACAGAGTTTGAAATTTGAGGCAGCAGAACCAGAGAGTGTGAAGCATTCAGTTTCATATAATTCATGATCTGCTCCAGTAAAGAGTCGATGTTTGCTGACAGTGCTGGAGGTAAACACGTTATTGTAATCACATTACATTTGTCTTTAACACCCGCATTCTGTTATTAATAGAATAACAATGAGACTTTTGCTACATACAGTGCACGGTTCAGCTGTGAATAATAAGAGAGAAGCAGAGATGATGACTCCCAGGGTGGAATGGTCAAATATCGGCTGGCTCCATAAATCACTACAGAATCCCATCTTGACATTTACACTAGAATAAACACACTTACAGCCTGGTCCAAAATGATTTTAATTTCAATTTCTCCCATTTGAATAATTGCATGTGGGATATGTGCCATTCATTTAGGTATTTTAAGGCTTAAAGTTAGCAGTGTGATTACTCGGATTATCAGACATAATATGGCTTGCTGTGGGGTACATACTATTCAAGAAATTTGTGCGATCCACCTTCTAGTTTTTCATACAAAATGTATTTGTTTGGACAGTTTTTAAGCTCCGTGTAACCCACACTGTCGGAGCATCAACCTTCACAAAAACCTGGAAGTCATGCACATTGTTACCCAAGTCAATTTTGTGCACTACATATATTTTTGATTTTCCCTTTGTTGTAACTTTTGCTGCTTCATGCATCGTACCAACCTTTGGGAAACAAGGAGTCGCAGGAAACAACATGACCCAAGGCGGCAAGGTCTCGCTGGCTTTGAGTCATCCATGGAAAAGGAGAGGGCATGAGTCACTCAGTGCTGTGTCTTTGTATTCACAGTCGCCTCAAAAGCTTTTTCTGGCCTGCAAAGCAGTTGAATACTTGGATACATGCGATGGTACATTGCCCTCTTCTACAGAGTTCATCGCTTTCTTAAAATGCTCCATACTTCTTCAAGTACCACTGCTTAAGCAGGGGTGTCAAACTCAATGGCACATTTTAGGTCGCGGGCCAAACAAGATAAACATTTATGGACATTTGGCCAGAGGGGCCGATGGCGCGATATGACAGCCTCGCTTCTGTCAGTCCGCCCCAGGGCAGCTGTGGCTACAACTGTGGTTTGCCTCCGCCAGTGTGTGAATGAATAGTGGAAAAGTGTTATATAAATGCAATTCATTATTATTGAATCCGTTCAGAAAAGATTTTAAGAAATCTCCCAGTGTATTCTATTCACTTCAATTTTATTCATATAGCACAAAACCCCAACCGCAATCGCCTCAGCATGCTTAAAATCTTTAATCCTGAGCCTTCAGCTGGTTTATATTTGTCAGGGAGTTTTCTCCAGTTTTCCATTTAGTGGACGACTTCTCACCTTGTACTCTTGGATACTTTAGTAGATGTCAGCAGCTTATAACTACCAGCTGAATTTGGCTTATATGTCCATTAAATTCCAGTAAACATTTAAGTTGATATGGTTTGGAACTGTGCATGGAAATAAGGTGAGCGTATTAATTTGCTTAACAACAGTGGGTGTGGTGTAGCTTTAAATTCATATTATATTTAACTATAAAGAAAAACAAAAGAGCCACATAGTATAAATATATATGTTCATTAAAGTTTTTATTGCATGATTATTGGCAGCTGTTTCCTAAAAGTAAACACATGAACAATCCCCATGTGAGTTTATTACAGCTTAAAATTGAAAAAGAAAGAAAAAACATTATTCTTCAAAAGAAAAACAAATTTTTAGGCTGACAAAACAAGACCAACCACATTTTTTCTCTGTTCTTTATAAAACATCCATCCATCCATCTTCTTCCGCTTATCCGGGGCCGGGTCGCGGGGGCAGCAGCCCAATCAGAGAAGCCCAGACCTCCCTCTCCCCAGCCACTTCCTCTAGCTTATCCAGGGAAATACCAAGGCGTTCCCAGGCCAGCCGAGAGATATAATCTCTCCAGCATGTCGTGGGTCCGCCCTGGGGCCTCCTCTCGGTGGGACATGCTCGAACACCTCCAGGAGGCGGCCAGGAGGCGTCCTTGTCAGATGCCTGAACCACCTCAGCTGGCTCCTTTTGATGTGGAGGAACTTCTCTCCCTATCTCTAAGGGAGAGGCCAGCCACCCTTCGGAGGAAGCTCATTTCCACCGTTTGTATCCGCGATCTCGTCCTTTCGGTCACTACCCACAGCTCGTGACCATAGGTGAGGAACGTAGATCGACCGGTAAATTGAGAGCTTCGCTTTTACGCTCAGCTCTCTTTTCACCACGATGGACCGGTGCAGCGTCTGCATCACTGTGGCTGCAGCACCAATCCGTCTGTCGACCTCCGGCTCCCTTCTCCCATCACTTGCGAACAAACCCCGACATACTTGAACTCCTGCACTTGGGGCAGGAACTCATCCCCGATCTGGAGTGGGCACATCTGAGCATTTACATTGTGGAGTAATGCTGCTAAGTGATATTCTTTACTATCATCATTGTTATTGTTATTACTATTATTGTTATACTGAGATGTATATATACGCTGCATATATAAATACAGCCAGCAAAAGACACGTCACAGCAAAGAGTGTAAATACAAAAGATAAGACTGTGGCAAAATCAGCTTCTTTAGGGAAGTGCTGCTTAAAGAAAGACAACAAAGGCTTTAATTTTTAACAACCTTAAAAAACAACACAAACTTATAAAATGCCCCCAAAAATGACAAGTACAAAGGTTTTTAAAGGTAACTTCTACTATCTCACATTACTAACTGCTCTAATCTAGAGAAAAACAACATTTAAAATGAGAATTTTGGAGGTTTTGTTCTGTCAGCTCCTTTTCTGTTAAAGCTCACCTCTGATACACAAATACATCAGAGTTCCCAGAAAGCTGACTCTGGATGTAGCATTTTGTTTAGATCAAAGTTTTTAGATGAAAGTTTTTATCCCCTCATTCAAAATTTTGAATGCATTTATTTTTGCTGTGTTTTATCTTTCAAGTTTTCATCTGAATTCCAAACTTACAGCATTTTACTGCTTATTTGGAACATTTTTAAATTTATTCCTCAATTAAATGTTGTGTAGCTGCAATATAAACTCCACCTGTAGAAGAACCTCTTTATGTTCAAGATGTCGAAGCATTCGGACGTATGTAGCGGCACAGTGCTCTAAACTGCACAGTTGGCATTGAGCACCTATAATTTTGTTATACATGTACAGTACAGTAAAGTGCTATTCTATTCTATTCCAGTGCCACCTCTCATTATATTTACTTCAAATGTTAATTTAAAAGTTAATTAACATTAACAGAGAACTTTTTCTCCCTAATAAATAAATTAGACTTCTAGATGAATTTGAAGAACTGGGTTAGCTAATGACAAAAAACCCTGAGCCCCCAAAGTAAACCTTTTATTATGAGATCATATTTCTGATTTGGCCTTACCTTCAAGCCTTTATCCTGTTCAACTAAATCAGTTAAATTTGTAATTCTGTTATAATTAAAATAGAAATCCTGAGCCTTGAAGATATTTGCAATTTGAATGTAAGTAAGCAATGAATATTCACAATATTCCATTATGAATATCCTATTAAGCCCCGAGAATATTTCAAGCACCATTTTTTACAAGCCAGCTCACCTTCACAAAGAACATATGTGGGACCAGGATGCATCACAAACTTCCACCACAATTTACCAAAAGCAGTGCAAATTAGCAGGGCACAGAAGAGCAGACCTGATGGGTGATTAATATCCTTACAAAAATAACATGGTGAAAGTGCAGCTTTTACACTCTGGAAACAACAAGGCAGTTCATATAAAAACAGGCAGTGGATGAGAATGGATATGTTCTGATGTAAGGGTAAAGTCCTGATAGGAACTCGCAATTCTCAACAAGACAGTTTATGTTGGATGTTGCAAAGTTTTGTGCATGTGCTGCAGAGAAAATACATGCAGAGCCGTTTTGGTGCTGCGCATTCCACAGTGAATCCAAGAGAAACACCCGTAATCCAGAGAACCTGTGCACGTTCCTGTTCCTACACTCCACTATTTTCTTTTATCCAGTTGCGATATTTGGTAACTTGGGTATAGATGCCAGGTTTGTTCTTGCGAGCGCAGCCTTCGCCCCAGCTCGTCACACCAGCCAGGAAGACCCGCCCCTTGGTGCTGGTGAAAGACAGGGGTCCACCAGAGTCACCCTGAGAATCAGAGAGGAGAGAGATTATTTTCAGCTTGAAGGTTTTCTGTGAGTCCCAATAAGCATTAAAAAAGGACATATTAACCGATCCCCGATAACCGACATGATCCCCTTTTTTGGGACTTTTGGAAAAACACTCTGTGGACTGATGAGACATAAACTGAACTTTTTGGGAGGCGTGTGTCCCATAACATCTGGCGTTAAAGTAACAGCATTTCAGAAAAGGAACATTATACCAGTACTTTTGGGTTTTGCAGGACAATGATCCAAGATAAACCAGCAAGTCCACCTCTGAATGTCTTAAGACAAACAAAGTGAAGACTGTGGAGTGGAGTAGTCAAAGTCCTGACATGAATCTGACTGACATGCTGTGGCGTGACCTTAGAAAGGCATTTCCTACTTGAAAACCCTCCAGTGTAGCTGAATTACCCCAATTCTGCAAAGATAAGAGAGCCAGGTTTCCTCCACAGCGCTGTAAATTACTTTGATTGCCATTAATTGCAAATGCTTGATTACAGCTGCTGCTGCCATGGGTGGCCCAACCAGTTACTAGGTTCACTGTTTCACACAGGGCCATGCAGGTTTGGATTTTCCCCTTAATAATTAACACCTTTATTTACAGACTGCATTTTGTGTGTTATCTTGTCTAATATTCAAATTCGTTTGATCTGAAACATTAAAGTGTGACAAACACAGAAATGTAGTTTATTTGTTTTAAATAAAACATCTGTCTATTACAAGCATTCGAGTTTGTACCTGGCAGGCGTCCACGCCTCCTTTGAGGACTCCAGCACACAGCATGTTGTCGGTCACCGGGTCTGTCAGGAGACTCTTGCACACTGTGCTGTTGATGATCCGGACTGCTGCCTTCTGCAGTACAGCCGCCCCGGAACCTGATAGACAGCAAAATTACTTCTAACAGCGCTCTGGTTCTTTGTCATGATCTGACTTTGAGATGCTTAAAGTTTGTTGTTTATTTTTTTGTTTTTTAGATCAGTCACCTCTTTTATTCATCTTATCCAGTTACCCAAAAACATTTTAACGGACACACTGTGCACCGTGCCATGTTAAATTTTCGGCTAACAGTTTTTAGGGTACAAAAATACTCTTATACCTGTAAAATGTAAAGTGGTGTATAAACACAGGGCAACTTGAGAAGCTCCCAGCAGTCCTATTGCAGTGAGGGAGAGTTTAGGCTCTCTCTCTAACTTTAAGTTTTGTCTAAAGGGAACGTTTTAAGCCTAATCTTAAAAGCAGAGAGTGTGTCTGCAAACTGAAAGGTCCGTGGAAGAGGGCCTGAAAAATGAAGGCTGTGCATCTCATTTTACATGTAAATATCGCACATTTGAACCAGCAGTCTGAGAGTGAAGTGCTGTGGTAGGGTGAATTTTATGTTGAGGAACATTGTTATCTTTACTATTAGGTCTTTCAGAACAATGCTTAGTGTTGAATCCACTGGCTGGCTGGGCAGACACATCTGTGGGATCAGTTAAGTTTGTTTGTGGGAACGTTTCATTGCAGACACATTTAAAAACTTCCACAACACTTCCAGTGTGGGATATTCGGACGTTTCAGACAAGCTGTGTTCTCGTCATTCTCATCATCTCACCTCCCTCCCTGGTAGCTCCCCAGCCAGTGATCCAAGCCTCTTCTCCTACTGGGAAGTCATGCGCGGGGGAGGGCAGGCAGATGGGCCAGATGTTCTGGTTGAGCGTGACGCTGTTGTCCAGTTCCATGAGAGTGATATCGTTATCGTAGGTCTCAGGGTCGTAGCCCGGGTGAACGATGATCCGCTTCACGCCCCGCTTCATGGTCCACTTGCTGGTCTGACTCTGCTCGTGAAGACCCAGAAGAGCCTCCCATTGGTTAGCCTGAGAGAATCTACATGAAAAAACAGCCAAGGAATTCTTTCAGTTCATTTATGTCATTTGTCTGATTTTACATTAAAAAGCATATACAAGTACATTAAAAAAAACAAAAAACTGTAAAATTTGTGGTACACAAAATTCAAAGCTAGAGCTCCACTAGAAAGGATGTGACTTGTGTCTGGTTTTGGGAGGAGTAGTTAGAGATCAAATGAGCAGGATGTATAATATACAGGAAAAGACATTATTTTGTAGTTAGTGATACTGAAACAGCCGGTCTGTAATCATGCTTCTGTGATATATATGAAGTTATTGGGTTCTGAACTGCAAAGAAACAGTTGAGTGCATCTCATAGTTTTCGATCACTCTACACATGTCCCCCACTTATACCCATGCCTCTACAAAGTGTATGCAATCTAGTTGAAGGAGTGTCCTTTATTTCAACAGCGGTGAAAAAGTCACAGTGACTCAAATGTGGTGAACAGCACTGGTGGTGAGCAAAGATTGATTCAGTATCAGTAAGGCTCTCGTGTTTTCAGTGCACTCTAAGCTGACAGATGACGGCACAACCACAGTCCCAGTCGTTTCTACCTAAAGTTCATCTCTGACACAGTGTTCACAATCTAAACAGGGATTCACAGTACAAAGTGCCACGGATGATGAGTGCTCCACAGGCCGCTGGTCTTGCTGCTCACTTGTAATGACATATTCACACTTTGAAAGTCTGAATTCAGCCTCTAAGGACAAAATGTCTCTGTTATAGTTGGAGATTGAATTCTCATCAACGGTGATGCTTAACAGAGAATTTTGGTCTGAAACAAAAGCTGATGTCTGCACAAGTCTGACGTCCACATTAAAAATAGAGAGCACTCAGTGTAAGTGGTGAGAACAGGAGAGAGAGATGGGCAAAATTTAAATAAGGTTTTTGGTTTTTCTGAGGTCTGTTTCTGGAACTTTTTAATCACACTTCATATCAGTAAACACTCAGCCCCGTCATTTCAGATAGAGGAGCTCCTACTTGTCCTGAACGCAGTGGGCGGCGGTCAGCAGCCAGCGGTTGCTCAGCACAGAGGCTCCACACACATGTCCCATTCCCTTGAAGTGGAGGCTGACCTGCCAGGGCCACTCGCCCTCCCGAGATGCTTGTCCTCCCACGATGCGAGAGCTGCGGTACGGCCTTATCCCGCACTCTGAAAGCACACATATGTGCAGGCGTTACCGCCACTAAACTCCATACCACAACCATCTGTAGGCAAGTGTGCGGTTAACTTACCACAGTTATCCTCATCAGAGTCGTCGGTACAGTCCTGCACTCCATCACACTCTGGGTTCATTTTACTGATGCAGAGTTTGTTTTTGCATTGGAAGGTGAACTCTGAGCATGTCTGCAGCACCAAAGCTGAAAGACGAGAGACACGTGCAGTATCAGTGAGCAACTCTGACCCACAGGTATCCTTTACCTCAAAATGCTGTTTGATTAAAGATTTTCATGAAAACCATACATTTTCAGAAGTTCTTATTTGAACTTTACTTCTTACATTTTTCACATTTGGACTCATCAGACGCATCACCGCAGTCATCTTTTCCATTGCACTTCAAATTCTCTGCAATACAGCGGCCATTTTTGCAGGAAAACTGCCCTTTGCATGTTTCTGTAAAACAAGAGAAAAATCACTTATTTACTACCCTCCACTCGAGTGTTTAATTTGACCTGTTGCTATTTTAATTCCAGAGCTCTTTTAAAGGAGTCAGTTTCAACAAAGACAAACACAGGCTAGTCTTCCACCTTTCTTCCACATACACTGCCTCTGCATGTCAACAGATTCTTATGGAAATGTGATTGCACAACCCTCTGGTCTGATTTGCCTGCTGGGCTTCCTACATTCCTCAACAAAACTGGCTATACCGGCAGAACAACCTCTTGCATTATCTGCCACCTTGCATTTATAGTCCAGTTTTTATTACAGTACTGTTTATGCACATATTACTTTAAAATGTATGGAGAAAAGTGATAAAATTTGCCTGTTGCTTTGGTGAAGTTTCAACTAATTCTTTGTATCAGTACTTATTGAAAAAAGACATCTTTTTGGCTTTTATTATTTCCCTCAACTTGAATGTCTTTATACATTTTTTTAATGCAGACCCTCAGTTTATTCTCCTTTTTTTAATCTCCTCAGGTTTCTTCTGATTGGCTGCCCCTCCCAAATATAAAGGATTTGATTGGCAGGCAGGTGGGGCTAGTGCAAATGCAGTCAGACCTACTTATCTAACAAGAGCATATTTGGGATATCCTCTGTCACTGACAACACTGCCTGAGTTTTTAGTGCAATAAACTTTAAGCGATGTTTAAAATAAACATCAACTGCTGAAATAGCTCCAGTTTATTGTTTCGCTGCACTCACCACAGTTTTCTTCGTCCGTGTTGTCTCCACAGTCGTCCACCCCATCACACAGCCAAAATTTTGGTTTACAGTGACCATTTTTACACTGTATCTGAGACGCATCACACTCTAATGAGGCACACAAAGAGAACCCAACATTGTTAGGGACAGAAAAGGTGAAAGACCATTTTCGATGTGCTCCTTTAATTTCATTCTTTTCAGACAGAAAGAAGTTTGACGGTTTGGACTCACTGCAGTTGATCTCATCGCTGTCATCTCCACAGTCGCCCCAGCCGTCACACCGCAGAGTGTTATTGATGCACAGGTTGTTGCTGCACGTGAACCTTCCTGGACAAGCTGATAGGACAAACATAATATTACCTCATTTGTTCGCCGGCTTCAGAGAACGCTACAGTCCTTAAATTAAGCATGTATCCTTACGATTGTTCGGGGTGAAGGCCTCGTACTCAGCAGTGAAGCCCTGATCAACGTAGGAGGAGTCCGACTTAAATGTAATGGTCATCTTGTTGCTGTTGATGGTGAACACTGGGCTCTTCAAGTCGCTGCCACACAGCCTATAACAAAAAAACACAAAACAATGTAACTAGGTTACATATTTTACACACACACACACACACACACACACACACACACACACACACACACAGAATTCTACTTTATTGTCATTGCACATGTCACAAGTATGAGGTAACAAATTGCAGTTTGTATCCATCCAGAAAGGGCTTTTGCAATAATATAGATATAATACAGGATATAGATCTATTATAGGTATGTTACACATATGAAGGTATGTTATGAAGATACTATAACTTTAAGTATGTACCGGCTGTAGCTGTAGTGAGTGTACAAGCTATGTACAGGTTATACATATGGTTAAACAGTTGTAAACAGTTATAAAACTGTAATTATTGTATTGGACAGTATGATTGTCTACACAGCATTTACAGTAGTACACTTATCTACTTTTTCTGTCATTCTCAGTCCGGTCCTTGTACCCAACCATTGGGACAAAATGTTTTGGTTTATTAAGCCACTCATTAATCATAAGTGACTAATCATGACTAACTCATCAACCATTCAAACATCAAGGCAACAAACTCATGCAGCAACATTACTGCAACAGTCAGTAAACATTTGGACAGAAATCAGAATAATCAGCAAGTATCCAAAGACCTCTGAAATGATCTTCAGGAAGCCTGGAGAACTATTCCTGAAGACGACTTCAAGAAATGATAAAAACACTTGCCCAAGAATAAAAAGTAGCCATTCCAGGTTTTTGCCTCATAGGCTACGTTCACACTGCAGGCGAAAGCGTGTCAAATCCGACTTTTTTGACCATACCCGATCATGGTGTGACATCGTGAACGGCACAAATCTGATTTTCAAATTCGACCTGGGTCACTTTCGTATGTGGTGCTGAATCCGATACATATCTGTCTAAGGAGTTTGGAAAGAAAAGCGTCTGGACTTCTTTAAGTTGCTTGAAGACGTTTCACCTCTCATCCGAGAAGCTTCTTCAGTTCTAAGGTCAAATGGTGGAGAGTCCCAGATATAAACCTAGTGGGAGTAACCCCCCACAGAGGGACAAAAGGACCCCCTGATGATCCTCTAATCGCCTGAGCCAAGGTGTGAAAGCGAGTGTGGGTCCCAATCAGCCAGAGTTTCGGGTGAGCTCATTGTGAAACCTGGTCCCACCTTATCATGTGATTTCCTGAGGTCAGATGGCCCAGGATGTGAGTGGGCGTTAAGGCGTCTGGGGAGGGATCTCAAAACTGGATTATCGATTGCAGACAGTTGGTGTCGTAAACCCCGCCTCTGTTCAAAGATGGTCGCTCACAGTGGACATAGATGCTTCTTTCACTCCTCTTTCAAACCATCTGTCCTCTCTGTCCAAAATGTGAACATTGGCATCCTCAAAAGAGTGACCTTTGACCTTTAGATGCAGATGGACTGCTGAGTCTTGTCCTGTGGAGGTGGTGTCGCATTAAATCCGTCTTTTACGTCACCGACACAAGACAGACACCAATTATCAGCACCTGAGAAAACATCGTGAACGCTTCCTGGCCATCCAGTGAAATTGTTGGGAAGACAACGTTGGAGAAATGCGAACATTTTCTTTGTATATAATCTGCAGATTCTGACAGAAATCTGCAACTATCCTGTGAAGCACCGCTCCTCTAAAACAGCAATAATGATCATTATTAGGCCATATGTAAATAACAAAATAACTTTATAACTTAAAGCAAAATTGGGAAACGTAAAGTACGAAACAAGTCTTTATATTAAGGGCCATCAGTCACACAATGCTGTTTGGTCTGGGTCCAAACAGAGCGCGTTGTGTGTGACGTCTTCTTTTGCGCATGCGGAGCTCTCTGAGGGTTCACACTAGAGTGCGTTTGCTGTCACATTTTATTTGTAGTGTGAAGAAGCAGACAAAAAATCAGATTTGATCAAAGAATCGGAATAGAGCACGAAGACCTGCAGTGTGAACCTAGCTATATACTGTATTTCCATGTATTTCACTTCAGCTATTTCCCATTCTTCAAGCTAAATATAAGGACATTGGTGGTAATGTAAGACCTTTTAACAGCACTGTATACTAAGAATAATCTTTCTTTAAAAGGCATAACACTGCTCGTTACTGACCTTTCACCATTGATCTCAACATAGTCATGGCCGCAACCTTCAGTTTTATTTCCCAGCGAGAACTTATTGAACAGAACCTTCAGAAATTTGTTGTTTGCAACCTGAAAAACAAAGTAAAAAACAAATGAAACAGGAGTGTAAAATATTTAAAACATGATCAACTAATAAAAATAAGCCCAATAAATAGATTTTCTGATTTGTGCTTTTAATAAATTTAAGCAATGATGGAAAAATGTCATTGTCGTCATCATCATCATCTATGGGGTTTATCTTTATAAATAATAATTATATTGTTTTGCTGAAGACTCACTTGGTCAGTGTAAGAGAAAAGTTCGTTTGGTTCTAGGTCAGCTAACTGAAAAGTGTCATTTCAGTGGAGGGAATGAAATTCAGTTTGTGTTCAGGTTGGCAGTGAAGCATTTGCACCTGGAGGCAGAATTTAAAGTTGCATACAATCACTAAATGTCCTGCAAATTATTAATTAAACAATAATCAAGCCAAAATGCAAGAGTGCATAGAAAAATAAGTACACTCCTATTAAGAGAGTGAGTACTCGAGTAATTGAGCATCATCCAGAGTGAGCGCCTCTATAAAAACAGGTGTTTTGGCAGTTTGCTGGTCTTTGCTGGTTGTTCAGGTGTCTGTTACCATGAGTCTGCTGGAGTGCGGTCGTAGGAACAAATAGGATGCTGTGCAGAAGCCTCAGTAAAATGAAGGCTCACCTCGATGTTCCACACACATGTGGTGCGAGGAGGGTAGTTGGACGGGAAGAACGGTGAAGAGATGGAGCCTTTCTCTCCAGTCAGCGTGCCGCCACAGTCTGAGGGACGCACAGTTCATACTGACATGTTAGATCATCTACAAAGACTTTAGCTGCAGAATTAATAAAGTTTATGCCGAGATAGCATCCTTTAGATCTGACCTTTAACACATCCATCCATCCATCCATTCATTTCCGCTTATCCTTTTCAGGGTCGCGGGGGGCGCTGGAGCCTATCCCAGCTGTCATAGGGCAAGAGGCAGGGTACACCCTGGACAGGTCGCCAGTCTGTCGCAGGGCCAACACATAGGGACAGACAACCATTCGCACATTCACACCTAGTGACAATTTGGATTATCCAATTAACCTATCCCCACAAGCTGCATGTCTTTGGACGGTGGGAGGAAGCCGGAGTACCCGGAGGGAACCCATGCAAACACGGGGAGAACATCCAAACTCCACACAGAAAGACCCCGGCCTGATGGTGGAATTGAACTCAGGACCTTCTTGCTGTGAGGCAACAGTGCTAACCACCGTGCCGCCTTTAACACAATTACTATTATTATTATGTACTGATTGAAAAATTATTACTGTAATCTCTGGGCTGGAAACATTAGGCAGTCTTAAGATTTCTGCTGCTGCTGCATTTTTTCCCAACACACATTTAAATCACACATTTCAAGTCTTTCATGCCCTGTGGAAATATTTCACAAAGAGCTGACAGCTGTTCAGAAGACGTTTGATTTACTTAGTGTAGTCTGGGGAATCGGAGAGTAGTTTGCTCTGAAGCCGGGGAAGTTTTTCTCCTCATTAGTGACCAGCATCAGCAGCATGACGTTTCCAGAGGAGATGAAGGACAGCGGCTGGTGAGGGTATCCACACTGTCTGAGCGGACAAGGGAGAGACAGAAAGAAACCTTTAGTGCTCCTGGGGCCGGGTGCATAACGCATGTGTCGGCACAAAAACGTTTTAATGCCTTTTCCCCAACACAAACTGGTGTTGTACGAGGCATGCCCTCTCCCTCCTCTGCGTATGCCTGACATGTCCCTCTGATTTCCTCATTCCGTATCCTGTCCAATTAGGGTCACTCTGAAACAACTAAATATATATCTCCATATCTTTACATTCGTTCCATAGTCTCCGCCAATTTTTTAACCTGAGCCAGTGTTTCAGGGTAAACAATATTCAGGAACCCGGTTACTTTAGTCTGAACATCCCTTTGTGTTAAAAATGAGCAGCTATTAAAACACAGAATAAGAATATCAGCCTGTTTTGTCTTGTTTTCTCTGAGATAGCTGACACTTTAAATTCTAGGAAGAGATCGTTCGTCTCACTCTGTCATAGCGCGTTTCTCTATGGGGACGAGCGAGTCGTAGATTTTGATGAAGTCTCGCTGACAGTCGTCCTCCAGGATCAAGTCATCAAAGTCGAGCTGGATTCGGTGTTGCGGGTCTGCCCGAAACTTCCACTGCAGGTAGGCGTTTGAAGGGTACGGAGAGTTTGGAAATCCCGGAGACTCAACGTGCCCGGAGTTTTCGATGTGGATGTCGATGCTTTTCCTCTCTGAAAATATGACGAGAAGAACATGTTTTGGATGAAGTATACCAGTTGTGAAACAAGCAACTTTAATTTTTTTGGAACATTTTAACAAGTCAAACTTTACATAGAGAATTACAGAAAAAAAAGAAGTTCCCACCACGAAACTGGTTTATACCTGAAAGCTTGGTTTTGGTCAAGCGTGGATCTATAGCTGTAAACACAAAGATAAATGTGTTAGTAAACCACATATATCAGTTCCTCGTTACTAATTAAAACAACAATAATCATTTTTGCGTTTTTGATTAAACTTTACTCGATGTTTTTAACAAAACCTTGGAGGAAGAATTCAGAGCAGATGTAGCGTCAATATTTGAGAACAGACGTATCGTAGCGGGACGTCTTGATGTCTCACTGTCGTCATTGGAAACAAAAGCTTACTGCTTAGTTTTGCTGTACAAGCAGCAGTGCTGCAGTTTTTTGATCATTTGTGAATCGCAGTGAGACACAAGTAAGCTCCTGTCTGTCACCAAATGTTATAGTTATGATTATACATATACACCAGGACTATGACTCTTACTACATATAACTATATATCCTCCAAGGGTTTATGCAGTTTCACCACTTTAGGAATCTATTCGCTCCTCAGTCTTTAACAGTGTCCAGCATCATGTTTGTATGAGACAAAGAAGCTTCTAGAAGATGTTTCCCCATAAGAAAAGATAAGAGCTGAGTTGAAGAATCCATTAACCATTAGAAGAAGAACCATTCATCGTTAAAATGTCTGCATGTAAGTTAAATATACTTTTTAAATTAATTTAATAATTTTTTTTTTAATTAATTAACTAATTTTTCCAAGAGTTGTCAAAGACAGCACAGTGCTCCAGGTTTAAAGGGTCATATCAGAGCGTAGATTTTACTTTTCAGTGCAGGCAGATCAAGAACAGACATATGGAGAACAGCTGGTGGTTAAGTGCCCATAGTGAATACAAAGCTAATAATAATTTGATGTAAAAAAAAAAGCTTGAAAATTGTTTTGGATGAACAACCTTGTAGAAAACTAATCTGTGAGCCGTCAAACCTTGTGTCACGATGTCGTTGACACTCAGGGCGTCTGTGGGTTTCAGCAGGAATCGTCCTTTTCCGCCCTCCTGACTTCCTGCTGGAGGCTGCATAGAGTCGATGGCTTCATCCAGCGAGGCTTGCTGGGGTGGGGGGACATCAAACTCTGATTCGTAATAAGCCACAATGGTGTTCGGCCCTCTGTCGCCCTCACTGCACAACAGGACACACAGAGGATTTGTACAGGCTTCATTCAGTGCAACAGAGAAGCAACTGTGCATTACAGCTATGTACCAATCAGCCGCCTCAATACAACAATCAGATTAGTACTGTGTAGGTCCATTTGCTCTCTGAACTATCAGAGCGTGGACTGCACTTATTGCCTTTATTTCTGACCCCTTAAAAGATCTTCATTGATATTCACTTTTCCCGTCACTGGTGATATTGTTGTGGCTGGCTGGTACACGCTGTCTCTTTCACAGTACCTGAAGGCCTGAACGGACGAATGGTTGAAGTATCTGTCCAGCAATGAGTTTTTGGAGTACATCAGTTTGAGCTGAAGAGAAAAAGGTCACATTATGGCACCTATTACCTTTATGGCCTCAACAAATAGAGAAACACGTGACAGAGGAAGACACAGAGCAGAAGTGGTTAGAAGTAACATCAAGGTTACAACTCAGACTCGCAGCACACAATCATGTAGTGACGCAGAGTGTGCTGTAATGGATTTTGGGGAAGTAGGTCCTATTAAAAGGCCTCACTGGAAGTGTAGGTGCTATCACCTCTGCCTACTGATAGTGCTGATAGTTGTTGGAGGGTTCTATGTTAGAAATTTGTGTTTCTAAGTTGAGGGTGTAATGGATGCTGGTGAATGAAGACAGCTGCACTCCAAGATACCAATTACACACACACACACACACACACACACACACACACACAGACACACACACACACACACACACACACACACACACACACACACACACACACCACTATACATGCATCTATATTTCAGATTGTTCTTGTATGTCTTCTAAATATTTATTTCTATCACAGAGCAAACCTGAAGGTCTCATGATGAATGTATAACACCGCATATATGGAAAATTCCCATGATGCTTTGGAACTGTCAGGTCTCACCTGTTTGCAGACCTGAGCAGCCAGGTTAGTGAACTCAGAACTGCCAGGCTCCTCATACTGTGGCAGGAATTGCTTGTTGTTGATTTCCATGGAGCCGATATAAATTCTCTTCATTTTCACATGCTGGGGCTCTGAAGACACACAGAGATGTTTCCAATATCTTTATACACAACATTCTGATCACAACTGTATATAATTGTTATGACAATTTTATGGGTGAGTTTCCCTTGTGGACTGGACCTCTCTCTCTTACAGGACAAATAACACTGCTACAGTCGTGAGAGGAAAGCTGGGGTAGTTTCTTCACTCATTAGTGAGACGTCCTGGCTTTGCCGAGGGTATTTTTATAGTGACAAACTCTTCTTTCCAATAAATGAAGATCTTCTAAATTAGCGAGACACCATTTCCTCTCCATTATCTGCATCAAGCTGTGTAATTGAGATTTATATCAGGGAGTCAATTATTCTGAATTTGAAGCTTTTGTTTTCATAGGAGCCATAGTATCCAGAGTCATACGCAGCGAGGACGTAACACTATTAATGAGATAATCCAGTCCAGGTAGCTGCTCTGTTTCAATTAGACCTTACACCTGCCAGACAAGGTGTGTCCTAGGATGCTTAAGGCGTGTGCTGCTGAACTTGGGGAGCCGCTACAACGAGTCTTCAACCTCAGTCTGCGACTGGGGAGAGTGCCCGCCCTATGGAAGACATCCTGCATCGTCCCGGTCCCCAAAAAGAACCGGCCCAATGAGCTGAATGACTTCCGACCGGTGGCACTGACGTCACATCTTATGAAGACTCTAGAGCGGCTCTTCCTCAACTTCCTCCGACCACAGGTACAACATGCCCAGGACCCACTACAGTTTGCATACAAGGTGGGTGTCGGAGTGGAGGATGCCATCCTGTACCTCCTACACAGAGCCCACTCACACCTGGATGGGGGAAAAGGCACGGTCAGGATACTGTTTCTTGACTTTTCCAGTGCCTTTAATACCATCCGGCCCTGTATGCTTCAGGAAAAACTGAACAGGATGGAGGTGGACCCCTGCCTGGTGGCCTGGATCTCCGACTACCTCACCGACAGACCACAGTACGTCAGGCTGAAGGACATCACGTCTGACACTGTGGTCAGCAGCACAGGAGCACCACAGGGAACTGTGCTGTCCCCTCTTCTCTTCACCCTGTACACCTCTGACTTCTGCTACAACTCTGAATTATGCCACATTCAGAAGTTTGCAGACGACACGGCCATCATGGGGTGTATCTGGGATGATCAGGAAGAGGAGTACAGAAGTCTGGTGAGGAACTTTGTCGCATGGAGTCACACAAACCACCTGCAACTCAACACCTCAAAGACCAAGGAACTGGTTGTGGACTTCGGGAGGTCCAGAGAAGGTCCACTGCCGGTTCAGATAGAGGGGGAGGAGGTGGAGGTGGTCAACAAGTACAAGTACCTCGAGCTGTGGGTGGACAATAAACTGGACTGGTCATGCAACACAGAGCACCTGTATAAAAAAGCCCAAAGCCGACTGTACTTCCTCAGGAGGCTGAGGTCTTTTAACATCTGCAGGAAGCTCCTGAGGATGTTTTACCAGTCGGTGGTTGCTGGAGTACTTTTCTATGCTGTGGTGTGCTGGGGGAGCAGCACAGCAAAGGAGGACTCATCCAGGCTGGAGAAACTGATCAGGAAGGCTGGCTCTGTGGTCGGCATGAAGCTGGACACTCTGGTGACAGTGGCAGAGAAAAGGACATTAAAGAAACTGATGGACATTATGGACAATGCCAGACATCCTCTGCACACGGCCATAAACAATCAGAAGAGTCTGTTCAGTGACAGGTTGCTTCTCCCAAAGACAAGAACTAACAGACTTAAAAACTCCTTTGTCCCACACGCCATCAGACTGTTTAACTCCTCTCTGGAGGGGAGAGGGAGGGGAAACAGGAGGACAAAGGAGGGGGGAACAACTAAGCTGTAGTGCCTCTTCACCTCACTGTACAATACCTTGTGCAATACTTTTGTAAATAGTCAACAGTGCAATAGACTCAATACTTGAAATGTGCAATTCACTTGTATTTTTATTTTTTATTCCTATTTATTCTATTTATCCCCTTTGTATATTTTATTTATATTTGTCTCTGTATTTATATATGTGTGTGTGTGTGTGTGTGTGTGTGTGTGTATATATATATAACAATTCTGTAACTGTAACTTCGGTCGTTGCTGTGCTTTTTTTTGGAAGTTGAATTTCCCAGAGGAACCCACCCGAGGGATTAATAAAGTTCTATCTTATCTTCTCTCTCTTATCTTATATCCTGTCTGACATCAAGGCGCTCAGATATGTATTTTCAAATCCAACCCCCAGCATCAGGTTAGCTGAATGTAGTTTGATGAAGTCAGCTTACGGCAAAACAGCCCGACCAGCAATGCAATCACAGCCAGAACACCAATCACCAAGGCGACTCCTATCCCTGCCCCCTTCTTGTTGCATGACTTCTTCTCCACGTCCTTGGGATCTGGAGCCTGCAGAAATGCTTCCTCAACGTCATTGTCCTGCATACAGAGATAGTTGGAGAAGACAAAGTTTATCAATTGGTTCAGGACTGTACAAAATCTCAAAGTGGCCTCAACATTTTTGTTTTGTTCAAGGCCAAAGTTTGTTTTTTATCTTTGTTTTTTTGTGTGTGTGTTTTTACACAGTCTGGCGTGCAACGTTATCAGGTAGGAATAGCAGGTTAGTAGACAGCAGACTGTGGGCTATTTACTCGACTGCAGTATTGGATGGTGTTTTCCAGTGACAGCAGCACAGCGCTCGGTCTAAATTCAACAGTCCCCCAGCTTTTTGAAGATGCTGCTGTTCAGCATGTTTGTATTCACTACAGACTCTATATAAAAATGTAGAAGACTCACTGTGAGATTTGAAGCCTGAACCAGCAGTTTGCAGTTTTTAAGGATTAAAATGTCCAAATTGGACCACAGAGTGGACTCCTAACTTAATGGGAAACATAGTGACCTGAGTAAGTTATTATATCCATGTCACAGCCTGACTGAGAATCCAGCCATCTTCTTTTGCTCATCCTTATTCCGGGCAGCTGGAGCCCATCCCAGCTCTTACACCCTTGACTGGTCCATTAACAATAGTCAGTAAAAGGCACCAAGCAAAATGGAGTGCTCCATCTGATCCCTAATTTCAAGTATTAAAGTTAACAAAAAGAGGAGTTATAAAAACAGCTATTATGACAACTAGAAAACTAGCCCCACAGGGTAAACCAGATTTTGTATAACAGATGTAAACGTGTTTATTTCTGTTGTATAGTTGTGCTCTTTAATACGGGAGTCTGTGGCGACTGACTTAGTATTTTGGCACCTGGTTCAACTGTGCTTCCTGTTTGCAGGTTAGTGACAGATACATAAGTTCATCCAAGTTCATCTCATGTAAATTTGACTTCTGTCAACTTGTTTTTTTTTTTTCACAGGTTTTGTGTTTGTACAGCCACAGCTTTTCAGATTACTTTTCAAAACTGCCTGTTTTGTTCAACAAACATGTTTGATGCACATTTTACACAAAACTACAAAAAAGAGAAACTTGAGGCAGCATGTGCATATGTACCTCCATTCCTTCCCATCAGTCTTAAGCAAATATGCATACATTAACTTTTTCCTCCCCTCATGTCACTGCTGACATTTTGAAAATAAAATGATCCAGCAGTGTGAATGGGAGAAAACATCTAGAACTATTAACTAGTGCTACAACAAAGTGGAGTCAGAATATACAGTGAGCACAGCAGACTGTAAGCACCAGGGACATCGCCCCAACCTGATACTTTAGTTCAAAGTTGATGATACATTTGTGAAAAGGTGTTGCCTTCAGTTTTTAGTTGTACTTATGACTGTAAAGGCAGCAAATGAGGACACAGTGTGTTTTCCAATGCACTGTAAACCTGTTCAGCTGTGTCAAGCAGGGTGTTGCTGCACAGGAATGTCTCTATGACTGTTATGAAATGCCAGCATGTTGTATCCTGGACACACCATTAGATCTCTAATGCAGTGCTTTAAAGAGCTGGTTGGTGCCTCATTATAGGGTGTGACATAAATGCTCTCCCTTCAAACAATCCAAAAAGTCATTTGTCTCAAAGGCAAAATTGTGTGAAGCAACTATGCAACTAGCAACTGTGAACTAACCCTTCCACAAACCCTGACATAATGTGCACATCTAACCACAATGTGTGATTAACATTAATCTCTTTAATAAACTAGATATTACACGCTTACATAGAAGATCCAGAATGACTGACCAAACAAACACTGTTTGTCTTCAGAAGATAGAATTGATATCAGTATAGTTTTGCGCAGCTTTTCTACCAGGTTCTTGAATGAGCTCCAGCTCTATTCTGGATTTTTGAAGCCATTTGGTAAAGAGGTTAAGGTCAGTATTACTTTACTAATTAGTTACTACTTTCATGGGGGAAAATACTTTGTGAGCCTTATTTTTTTAATGTTACAACTGGCAAAGGGCAAGAAATAACCAATCTAGTCCAAATACTAATCACTCCACTGACGTCCACACACCTGCAGAAACACTGGTGGTGAGATAAGAGTTGTAAGGTTGCACACCCTGACGGTGCACACCCTGGACCGGGTGCCTAACAGTGGGGTTGTTTGTGCCCAGGTCACTGATCACAGGGGACCTTCAACTGTGTCCACAGATTATTTACTGACAGGTGTGGAGGAGGTGAAACCATCTACATTCTTTCGATGCCTGAGCAGTGTTTAGTCTACTTCTGGTTTCACATTAACAAACATACAAACACATTTACAGTGAAACTGTATAATGTTGCCACATTAATCAGGCACTGGAACATAACTGCTTTTGGGGTGGAAATTTGAGATTGATTGCTTCAATCCATCTCCATGTCGGTTTCTCAAGTTAAATGTTTGATCAGAAAATGTTAATCAGCTCATTATCATATAAAACACCAGAAATCAGAAAAGAACAAACGCTGATGTCGTTTCCAGCTCTTTGATTATTAAAACTGAACCAGGCGCCGTTCTGTCATTTAAACAACTAATCAATAAAACCAAAATCCACCCTCAAAGAGTGAAAATATGCAGGTTCAATGCCAGAGGCGCGCCAGGTTTCAGTGGAGTTCAACAGAAACCAGTGCTCACATTACTCGAACAGATCGCACTTAAACTAATAAAACCCGCAGTGTGACGTGGGAACCGGTTCAGCCTATGTTGTAAAGCTAATCCAGAAATCCTTCTGCACATTGTGCATATCAGTACGTTCATAATTCCAATATAAATCAATCATATTTATGTTTTTTAAAACCTGTTCCTGGTGTGACGTCACTGAGAGGTTACCATAACAGGTGTTGGACTTACCCGTCTGGGACGGAACTTTTGTCCTGAATCCAGGGAATCCATTAGTCCCTTTGACTTTTTCTTTTCTTTCGTTTTTTTCCCCCTCTTTTGTCGCTTATCGATTTTTGTCCAACACTAAAATCGCAGCGCGGTCATGGCGGCGACAGGTGAGCAGCGGCAGGTGTCTCTCTCTCTCTCCCTCTCTCTCTCGCTCTCTCTTCCCAGCTGAGCAGAAACGTAAACAGCTGTCTTCTTCTTCTTCTTCTTCTTCTTTGGATTTTTGTCTTTTTCTGACAGGTTAGTTAAAGATGCTGTAGCCTGGCCAGAGTCGGTGGTGTTTCTGGGTCGGTGTCAGAGCGGGTTCTACAGCGAGAATGAGGAAACAGGGCAGGGCGGAGATCAATGGGGGGGCCAGAGAGGAGGAGACTGTGTGCTGCGGGTGGAGCACACACCTGTTACTTCATCTACAGACTTCCCATCAGCCGCGGCTAAACTCATCAGCGTATGCACCTCGTATCTGGCTTCATTGCAGTTTTGACATAGTATTTATTTTATTTTATTCTATTCTATTGTTTTTGTTATTTTATGCTGCTCTTAACTTTGTGCCGTCCGCTTTCTGCCGTGACCAAGCACATTTCACAGTTGTGGGACTAATAAAGGTTTATCTTATCTTATCTTTTATACAGTGTGTACAGTGTACCTTATTTATACAGCGCTAAAACAGCAATGCACTTTATTCTGCAGTATTCAACAGATCCTGCGTTATTATGATATTACATTAAATTCAATCCAATAATCAGATGTTTTCCCATGTGCACGCAGCATTTCACTTCAAAATGAGGTATTAAAAACCAACCAGTTGTATGTACAGCAAGTAAAATGTTGTAATATGAATAAGGAACACTAGAGGTCAGTGTTCATTCAGGTCATGTCCCTGATACTGTGACACAAATGATCACGTCAAGAAAAGCATTTTTGTCCTTTTCATTTATTCTGTCGTAGCCATTGTACAATGAACACATCTGGTGTGTGTCCCGTTTGCCTCCAGATGATTAAACCTGATTACTTTAAAGCTGTTAGCGGGACAGTACTGCAGCTAGTAGAGTCTAAGCTACTCCTGATGGAAACTGCATCACAATAAAAATAAAAACAAAACAAAAAAATCCATATTTGATTCAAAACCAAAAGGAAAATCTGACATTTAAAATTAAATAAATCAAAAAATAGTTGCTATTAAAGCTAAATTCATTTATTTGATCAATAAATGTAAAACATATTGTTGGGTTATTTATTCAGCCAATTATAAAAGGGACTAAATCATATTAATATACTGATGTAATAACCCTAAAGCAACCATTAATAAAAGTAATTCGGAGAAGTTATTTTTTTAACTGTGATTTTAATGATTGTGTTATTTATATATTGCCTCCTCAAGTACAGAGCGATCTGCAGGTGAAAATGTTGCTCTATTCCTCAGTTAATTAAGAGGCCAATTAAACTGCTAATCTATTGATATTATGCTCATTAATTACAAATCACTGTACTGCTTATTCTATTTACATTATGAAATAATTTTCATCATGTTTGTAAATGGAAACATTTTTCAAGCCGTTTGGAAAATGAAATATTGAATAATAATAATAATAATAATAATAATAATAATAATAATAATAAATATTATTATTATTATTATTATTAACTGGGCATTTGTGGTTCGTATAGGCATCATTCATTTATCAGATATGCAGAGTGGTCCACTGTGGGGACTCCTTGTGACAAGGGAGCAGCTGAAAACATGCCAACACTCCCGATTTTTCCGGGAGAATCCCGAATTTCAGTCCCCCCGTCAAATAGAAGTGTGAGATGGTCGAAAATTTACGCCAGCGTCCGGTTATATTTTAGACAGCAAGGAGCAGACGGTGACGTAATTCTGAAGGCTAGACCGTCCAATTTCACAGTCGCTTATTTCCGATCTACCTGGTAAGTATGGCTGAAAATATCTTCTTCAGTGATATTTAAAAAGATTTTTACTCAAAGAGTGTAAAGACATTGATAAAGAATTGCATGTTTCAAGTTCAGCCTACATCACCTGTGAAGTGCATAACTTGGAAAAAGCCAGATCAAACCAGACAACAATCAACCACTTAATCGATCAGTTTAGCAAGGTGGCAAGAGTGGATCAATAACTAATGACTAAACAATATAAGGAGGCCATTATGAAGTCATTCTGTGATTAAAATCATGAAAATTACAATCAGATCAAATACAATGCTAATAGCATAAGTCATCCATAAAAAACATAAAAATGTATTTTTTTATTTTTAAAAACAATAAAAATACAGCGACAATATTACCCAGAGAGGTGGAGATGTTTTGAATTCAGTTAGGTTAACACACATAAGCACCACATTTAGTTTATTTATATGAGATTAAATTGAGTAACTAGGATATATACTTTGAGCGAACTACAACTATGTTGCTGTTTTTCACATATTTTTAAAAGATACATGTCTGCTCAGTCATGCTGCTCATGCACGAATTTCTAAGTGCTCCTAGTGGGAGTTGCAGCCTGCACAACACAACGCCCACTAGGAGCATTCATGCCTGCATAAACTACCTTTTGCCTTTAAGTCCCATTTCTATGACTCATTTAAATCCTCTTCTAACTCTGTTGATGCCTCAGAGGTGTAAAATTGTCTCTGTGCCTGTCGAGTTAGTCCTTAAAGATTTTTAATACCAAAACAATGTTTTGAGCTGTTGCAACCTGATAATAACTTTGGTCCTGCTTTTTCTAGAATTTGTGCATACTGGATTATTTATAGTTTATAAAACATTTGTTTGCAATTTTTACATCTGCAAAATCAAAGGCCAGCTGAGGTTAATATATTTAAATCTTATTAGAGATGCTGCCATTCAACTGAGCATCTTATCTTAATGTAACAGTTTAACTGTTAAAATACTGCATTTGATGCCTTGTAAATGTGCATGTCATCATTTTTGGTATTAGGGTCATTAAAAAAAAGTTCAAAAAATGTCAACATCTGGTTCCATTTCCAGGAGGAATGTGTGTAATCCATAAGCTTCTACACTCCAGTCTTCTGTTTTATCCAGCTGCGGTATTTGGTAACCCGAGTGTAGACGCCGGGTGCGTATATGCGAGCGCAGCCTTTGCCCCAGCTCGTCACACCTGCCAGGAAAAAACGCCCGCGGGAGTTGGCGACAGACAGGGGCCCGCCGGAGTCACCCTGAGAGAGAGCAGAACATTACAATCAACTATTGCTGTGAAATATCTGCGACTGAGCTGCGTCCCAAGAAGCATCACATTACAAACAATTTTGAAATCCACTGTATTCTTAATATTCTGTTTTTTGATATTGTCAATGTGTTTATACAAAATGCTACTGTATTTAATCAGTGCTGAAGCAACAGTCACCCCAATGCACTTTATACTGTATTATTCAACAGATCCTACATTATTATAATAGTCAGCTTTAGCTTTTGGGTGCTACTACAGGTGCCTTTGACGGTGCAAAACGTTTCGTCGACATTGTTGTGTTTGTTGGGTAGAAAACTTACAGTACAGCACTTCAGAGTCACACTGCTAGCGATTGAAGACTTATGTATATTTGACCAGCTGAACGCATTCTGTACTGTATAGGAGACACGGCACGAGATTGATTGACAGTGGCCTACGGCCAATCAGGACACACAACACAATGCGCTGTAAAAAAAAAAAAATCAGCGAAACAGCGAGGCCACGTAAGGTGAACCGCGTTATGGTGAGGGACCACTGTACTGAAAACCAACCAGTTGTATCTGTTGTAAAATGTGCCAGGACTATGTGATGTAATATGAATAAGAAACACTAGAGGTCACTGTTTAATCAGTTCATTCCCTTTATACATGTCATGTCCCTGATACTGTGACACAGAAGCTCACATGAAGAAAGGATTCAAGAAAGCATAGCTATCGTTTAACAATGAACACATCTGGTCTGTTTCCTGTTTTTCTCCAGATGATTCAACCTGCGAGCAGAACAGTACTGCAGCTGGTAGTGTCTATAATAAGCTACTGCTGATGTAAACTGCATCACAATTAAAAAACAAAAAACTTAAAATTAAATAAATAAATAACAATAGTTGCCGTTAAGGCTAAATTCATTTATTATGTTTCATATACATACATTGGTTGCTTCTACTGTGTAAGTTTCCCTTAAGTTGCAACGTCTGGTGCCGAAAACCTTTATACCATTTATTAGTAATTACCTTTGCAGACTGGTCTTAAAAATAATCAGAAGTTATTGTGAGCTGCATAACTCACCCAGTGGGTTTTTTTTAAGGTTTAAAGTTTTAGGCATGGCCCCCTTAACAGCACAGGCAGCATAGACTCTACATCATCAAATTGACTCATCTGTGATCATATAGCTGTGTGGTACCACACTCCCAATACATTTCACTTCTGCTATATTATTTTTAACCTGTTTAGCATAGCATGTAGCTATGTGGAGCCTTATGGACTTAGCTTGCTAACCAAGCTAGCACTACCTACTCTCTTCATGCACTTCCTACACTCTTCCAGACATGGTCACTTTTGGCTCCAGAAAATCACATATTATAGAGCTATGAAGCTAACACTGAGGCTGATGAGTAGCTCACAAACCAGTAGGTGGCAGTGAAGTGGCTGTATGCATCTTTTCTATACAGTCTATAGGTTCCTCTTTGAACTAAGCACCCTTGTTTAGTAAATTCATCAAACAAATGCAGCTGTAAAAACCAAAACAGCAGCAAAGTACTTCACCTTTCCTCTCACTATTACGAGTGTGTGTGAATTATCTGTACCTTACAGGTGTCCACGCCTCCTGAAAGGACTCCAGCACACAGCATGTTACCTGTGACCCTGTAATTCAGTAGAATATTACACAGCCGGCTGTTGATGATCTTAACTTCCGCCTTCTGGAGGATGGCCGTCGCGGCACCTGACAGACAACAAAGTCGTGTTCTATAAAGCTTGTTGATGAATGACAAAGCAATTCACTACTGTTTGATCCTGTTTATGCTGTTTTAAAGGCAGCACATAAATCCTAATTTCAAAGTGGGGTTTATAATCAATCGTAGCTTCTAACAAGTTGCTAAAACCTTGAACTCATTTGGTTAGCCTCTATTCTTTACTCAAGTCAAGAAAACCTTGCTTCCAGTGGTACACACTTTTGAGTAAGAAATACAGGCTAGGCAAACACATTTATAGGCAGCTGTAAAACAAATATGATGTCAACACAAGCTCAAGTTGTGGATTATAGCTAGAATAATTACTCTTCTGACCCTGTCTGTTGCTAGGTCAGGTTTTTTAGCATGCTGTATTGCTCCTGAGGTGGATTCCTCAAGTGATAGATGACAAGCCTTCCCACCTTGACGGATTTTCCATCGTTTTCCACTTGAGGATCTGATGCACCTTACGGTATTGTAGGCCTGTATCACCCACATGTTCACACACAGTTGGTTATACATAAGACCACTGACTGACATTTTCTCAGTTGCATTTTTGGACTATAGGCTACCCCTTGGACAAGTTTTATTTGGGACTGTCAATAATAAGAAAATATTCTCCACATTTGAAAGGTGTGTGAGATCTTCCTTTGAATGGACACTGAATTTGAGAAATCTGTTTTCTATAACAGTTTAGGATTCAGGTTACCAGGGTGCACCCAACATTGAGAACTGAGAGCTAAGACTTGGCCAAGTCTTTATATTAGTAGTTTTATGTGCTTTTACTTTTATTTGTTTATTTTTCATTTCTTTCTTTAGTGAAGGTTACAAATGATCTTCTTATGGCCTCTGACAGTGGACTCATCTCTGTGCTTGTCCTGCTAGACCTCAGTGCAGCGTTCGATACTGTCGACCATAATATCCTATTAGAGCGATTAGAACATGCTGTAGGTATTACAGGTACTGTGCTGCAGTGGTTTGTATCATATCTATCTGATAGACTCCAATTTTTGCATGTAAATGGAGAGTCCTCTTCACACACTGAGGTTAATTATGGAGTTCCACAGGGTTCAGTGCTAGGACCAATTCTGTTTACAAGCTTCCCTTTGGTAATATCAGAAGACATAGCATACATTTTCACTGCTATGCAGATGACACCCAGCTCTATCTATCCAATGAGTTAAACTGCAGGAATGTCCTAAAAACATAAAGACCTGCATGGCCGCTAACTTTCTGCTTCTTAATTCAGATCAAACTGAGGTTATTGTACTCGGTCCTGAAAATCTTAGAAATATGGTATCTAAGCAGATTCTTACTCTGGATGGCATTACCTTGGCCTCCAGTAACGCTGTGAGGAACCTTGGAGTCATTTTTGACCAGGACATGTCCTTCAATGCACATATTAAACAAATATGTAAGACTGCTTTCTTCCATTTGTGCAACATCTCTAAAGTTAGAAATATCCTGTCTCAGAGTGACGCTGAAAAACTAGTTCATGCATTTATTACTTCCAGGCTGGACGACTGTAATTCATTATTATCAGGAAGTCCTAAAAACTCCCTGAAAAGCCTTCAGCTAATCCAAAATGCTGCAGCAAGAGTCCTGACAGGGACTAGAAAGAGAGAGCAGATTTCTCCTGTATTGGCTTCCCTTCATTGGCTTCCTGTTAAATCCAGAATTCAAAATCCTGCTCCTCACATACAAGGTCTTAAATAATCAGGCCCTGTCTTATCTTAATGACCTTGTAGTACCATATCACCCTATTAGAGCACTTCGCTCTCACACTGCAGGCTTACTTGTTGTTCCTAGAGTATTTAAAAGTAGAATGGGAGGCAGAGCCTTCAGTTTTCAGGCCCCTCTTCTGTGGAACCAGCTTCCAGTTTGGATTCGGGAGACAGACACTATCTCTACTTTTAAGATTAGGCTTCAAACTTTCCTTTTTGCTAAAGCATATAGTTAGGGCTGGACCAGGTGACCCTGAATCCTCCCTTAGTTATGCTGCAATAGACGTAGGCTGCTGGGGATTCCCATGATGCATTGAGTTTTTCCTTTCCAGTCACCTTTCTCACTCACTATGTATTAACAGACCTCTCTGCATTGAATCATATCTGTTATTAATCTCTGTCTCTCTTCCACAGCATGTCTTTATCCTGTCTTCCTTCTCTCACCCCAACTGTCGCAGCAGATGGCCCCGCCCCTCCCTGAGCCTGGTTCTGCTGGAGGTTTCTTCCTGTTAAAAGGGAGTTTTTCCTTCCCACTGTCGCCAAAGTGCTGCTCATAGGGGGTCATATGATTGTTGTGTTTTTTTCTCTACCTATGAAGCGCCTTGAGGAGACTTTTATTTTGATTTGGTGCTATGTAAATCAAATTGAATTGAATTTTTTCCACACTTGTGTAAAGTGCCTTATCCCTGTGGTTGTCAAAACTTATGGTTCGCTAAAGGCAGCTGGTTCTTTTCAGTCACATTCCTGTCTCTGTCTCTCTTAAACACACCCCTGTGCTCCTATAGTTGAACCTATTGGCCCATTAATATAATCTATTCAGTAATTCCCCTTACTGTGTTACATTGTCATCACCTTCCAGTGTAGAAAGATATTAACTTTGATACAGTGTTTCAGTACTTCTTTATTCTCATCTCACCTCCCTGCAGGGTAGTCCCCCAGCCAGTGATCCAAGCCTCTTGGCCTGATGGGAAGAAGTAGGTGGAGGAAGGCAGGCAGATGGGTCTGATGTGCTGGGTTAGGCTGACTCTGGTGTTCAGCTCCATCAGCGCGATGTCACTGTCTTCAGTGTATCTGTTGTAGTACCTGTGAGCGATGATCTGCTTCACACCCCTCTTTACTGTCCACTCATTGGTCTGGTTCTGCACTTGCAATCCCAGGAAAGCCTCCCATTTGTGAGCCTGAGACAGCCTGCACCATGAAAACAGTCAGGGATGTAAACAAATGCTTTAATTGCAATTGTAATGTAATTACACTTCAAATGAAGATGGTTCAAAAATATTAAACAAGGATTAATGCTGAGAAAAGACATGCAGTATTTAATAATGACGCAGTAAACTATCTTTTGCCTTCATTAGGTCACATTTGTTTGATTTAAATTCTCTTGTAATTTTGTTGATGTCTCTACTTTCTAAAATTGTCACTGTAACTAACTGACTAAATTCTTAGTTTTTAACACCAAAACAATGTTTGGAGCTGTTGCAGCTTCATAGTAAACTGACATAAAGCTTGCTTTCAAAAAAAAAAAAAGATTTTTAGACACAAAGAATTTTTTGAAGCATGTAAATATAATAATAACCACTGCAGCCAAAAAGAGTGCCTGACGAGCCCAGTTGTAAGTAAGCTTTTAAGACTCGACTGTACACCGTGTTCGTGTTTTCCTCTGAAACAATAAGCTCCGTTGGAGCAGCCTTTCAACACCTCTCTCTGTCTCTTGCTAGCAAACTTGAACCAGACAGTAAAGCTAGTTTTCGGCTACGAGCCCGACACGAACCCGAAGTATTAGCCAGAGGTCCCTTTACTACGGTTCAGAGCCGCAGACGTGGCCGAGGTAACAAAAGAGTACAAACAAAAAGAAAACTATTTTCACTAGCTGTCAAAAATGAATGTGTACACTTATGTCTGCATTTTTATTTTGTTAAATACAAACAAATATAGTAGAAGTGCTGACATGTGTCTGGCCAGAAAGAGAGGACCAAATTATTTATTTGGTAGTTTAATGAAAGGCTTCAGTTGCAGTTTTGTTTTGTTATACAATATTTAAATTGCGCCCTGAAATCAAACAAACACTACATTTTAGGAAATATTTGTGAGTCTTTTCTTGTTTGTTTGTACTACTTGAACACTGAAGTGGCCCTCCAATGTGATGATGGTGCCAGCAGTGGCCCGCGGCTGATTTTAGTTTGAAACCCCTGCTTTAAAGGAATTTGAATCCTTGTGCCGAGGGAGGGGCGTTCCATATCCTGTGGAGTGGGAGGGGTACAGACTGGAGGAGCATCCCCAGGCTGCCACCTTGTATAAAGTGATGCCTACAGACTTCCATTGTGAGCATGTGCGGCTTCCAGGAGGTTCCCATTAAGGGTAGAAGAAGAAGGGGTGGGGAGGTGGGGTGCACTGCTATGGTCCCGCCTTCTCTCCAAGCATCTTGCCACACTCTGCCTCTTTCTCTTTTCACTCTGTTGTTTGTTTTGGTGTCTGTATTCATGCGAGTACTCTGCCTGGGTTCCCGCCCTGCACACCTGAGGAACATCACCCACCTAGTGCTGACGAGTTGTTGCTGCGACCTCTTTGCTGGATCGTTGACCTACCTCGTTAGTGACTTTCCCAGTGTCTCATCCCTGGTGTATAGTGAGAGAGTGTTCCTACGTCTGAGAGAGAGCTTTTATTGTGAACTGGATGTGTGAGCCTTCCCTCTATGTCCCCGGAGCCTTTGGATAACAATCCCCTGTGTCTGTGCTTTTTGGATTAAGTGACTGTAAAATAAATCCTTTGAAGTTTTAAGAAAGAAGCAAGTCCCATGTCTCGAGTCCTGCCAGCTCCATTGGATGCGACAAAAAGTTTTACATTTACAACAAGAAAGAGCAGGTGAGGTGGCTACTAGTTTTCAGTTCAATTCAACTGTGACACATTTGTAAAACCAAACCACAACAACAGTTGCTTCAGAGCACCACGTTGTGAGGTAAAGACCCAATAATAATCAAGAAAAAATCCCAAACAGTAAGACAACTCAATATCATTTGGTGACAATGGTAAGGAAAAACTCCATTTTAATAGGAAGAAACCTCGGGCAGAAAAAGGCTCGGGGAGGGGCGGGGCCACTTTTAAATACTCTAGGAAAAAGGAGTAAGCCTGCAGTCTGTGAATGAAGTGCTCTATTGCAGTGATATGATACTATGGGCATTAGATGGGGTCTCATTATTCAAGGTCTTTTATGTAATGAGAAAGATTTTAAATTTAATTCTGGATTTAACAAGGATCCAATGAGTGAGAAACATGCTCTCTCTTTTCTACTCCTTGTCAGTACTTTCGTTGCTGCACTTTGGATCAACTGAAGTTTTTTCAAAGTGGGACATTTATGTCCAGCACATCCCACAGATGCTAGATCGTTAATCCCCCACTGTTCCTTCCTTGGACCATTATAGGTATGTGGCGAGTTTCCTGCTGCAGGCGCAATGGACGCACCTGCGTGGCATCTACAAACCACTCCCCGCCACAAGGTACATAGTGACCACTGCAGACTGGGAACTACAGGAGAGACAGTTTTGGAGATGCTCTGACGCAGTCACCTAGCCATCACAATTTGGCCCTTGACAAATTTGCTCAAATCCTTACACTTTACAACATTTGCAGCAATATTTATCACTTAAAATAGAGCTCCTACTTGTAAACTGTAGTGTCTTGGACGCAGTGGGCAGCAGTCAGCAGCCAGCGGTCACTCAGCACAGAGGCTCCACACATGTGTCCTAGCCCCTTGAAGTGGAGGCTCACCTGCCAGGGCCACTCGCCCACATTAGCTCCCCGACCCCCCACAATACGAGTGCTACTGTACAAACTCGTACCGCAATCTGAAAGCAAACACAGATCTTAATACACTAGAAAAATCACACTGCAACCATCTGTGGGTGAGTGTGTGGTAAACGTACCACAGTTAGCCTCGTCAGAGCCGTCCTCACAGTCCTGCTCTCCATCACACTCTGGGTTCAGTTTACTGATGCAGAGTCCATTACTGCAGTGGAAGGTGAACGCTGAGCACACCACTGAAGCTAAATGAAAGGAGACACACATGACATTAGTCTCTAAGAAAATTCTAATACAAAGGCATCTTTTAGGTCAAAATATCAATTAAAATGTTTTTTTCATGAAATCTAATCTTAATTTTTAGTATCTCCAAATCATTTATATTAGCTTAAAGTTTTGTCATTCTTCACATTCATCAGGCCAGTGTTTCCCAACCACTGCTCTGGTGTTCCATCCATCCATTCGCTTATCCTTTTCAGGGTCGCGGGGGGCGCTGGAGCCTACCCCAGCTGTCATAGGGTGAGAGGCAGGGTACACCCTGGACAGGTCGCCAGTCTGTCGCAGGGCCAACACACAGAGACAGACAACCATTCGCACTCACATTCACATTCACACCTATGGGCAATTTGGATTAACTAATTAACCTATCCCCACTAAGTGCATGTCTTTGGACAGTGGGAGGAAGCCGGAGTACCTGGAGAGAACCCACGCAAACACGGGGAGAACATGCAAACTCCACACAGAAAGACCCCGGCCTGATGGTGGAATTGAACTCAGGACCTTCTTGCTGTGCGACAACAGTGCTAACCACCGTGCCACCGTGCTGCCCTATAAAATAATTGCACCAGAGCAATTATTTTGCTCTGGTGTTATTTATTTAAAATTATTTAATTTTAATTAACTGGTGCAAAAAATACAATTTAATGATTACAGCAAATACTAAAATCATTGTTGGGCATCTGTGCTTTCAATGCAGTGACTGGTAGAGTAATTACTCTTTCATATCAGTAGGTGGCAGTGGGTAGCGAAAAGTGAGCTTGCTAAGTTAAGACAATAGAATTAGTGATGCATGTGGTACGTGGCAGTTGGAAGACATACAACCAAGCTGAAATATTTGAAAGGAAAAACTGTAGACTCCAAACTGGGGCCTGGACAACATTCTAGTCCAGAAGAGCCGAGTATGAGTGGTGGTCAAAAGAAAGCAAAAATCGGTGGGCTCGAGGCAGTACAGCGAAAGTTATCTTTTGTTTGGATTTACTTTCACTGGAGATCCAACTGCACCAATTCTATTATGTTTGTGTGGGGAAAAGCTCTCAAACAGTGCCATGGTCCTAAGCAAGGTTAAACACCATCTGCACACAAAGCATCCCTCACTTCAAAACAAGGACGCAGACTATGTTGTTTGCCTGCGTGAACATGCTGAGAAACAGGTAACTTTAATGAGAAAAAACACAAAGGTGTCTGAAAGAGCTCTCAAGGCTCTCAGATAGCACTTGTGTTATGAGAGATCTCAGATAACACAATTGCCAGACTTTCTAAAAACTAAAAACAGAGTGCGATTAAGAGCTGTTGAGGAAGAGCTTCATGTTTGCCGTTCTTCAATTCCTGCCAGAGTGTCATCTTTGTGTTCTGCTAAACAGGCCCAGGTTTCACACAAGATCAAGAGACTAACTTGCCATTATGTGTACTGTATTAGGCTAGAATGTGTCATTTTGGTTTGGTTGGTGGTGAGCCGTGGGATATTTTTAATCTATAAAATGTGCCGTGACTCAAAAAAGGTTGAAAAACACTGCATCAGACACCCGTCTTTTCCACGACAGATGCAGATCCTATTTTTGCATCAATATTGCCCATTCACCAACAAAACTTTTCACTTTTCAAAAACTATTTGAAAAGTGTTTTTTTCTATCAGACCTTTGACCCAAAGCTCCTTTGAAAAAGCCAATTTCATTACAATGCCACAGCTTAGGCTGCTCTCATTTCCAGAAAGCTCTGAGTACATATGGAAGTTAATAAATCACAACAAAAATTTCTGGCACAACTTCACATGCTTCCAAGGTGCATGGAGAGGATGAAAAAAAATCACAATGCGGGGACTCCAGCAACACTTAAAGGGAAGAGGAACAAATTTATTGACTGACCAACACGTTTTGGCTTTTAAGACAGGTGGAGATTATGTGTGTTCCCCCCATCAATAGAATAGAATAGAATAGAATAGAATAGAATTCAACTTTATTGTCATTGCACATGTCACCAGTACAAGGCAACGAAATGCAGTTTGCATCCATCCATATTAGCCATAATATAGATATATTACAAAATATATATTAGCAATAATATAGGTATATAGATATATTACAGAAATGGGACTGTTATGGGTTTGTTACAATGTACACGGTATGAAGGTATGTTATGAATATGCTATAACTATAAGTATGTACAGGCTGTAGTTGGTATACAAGCTATGTACAGGCTATGAACAGGATATAAATATGAAACTATACATACATATGAAATATAAAGCTATACAGAAATATGCAAGTTATAAACAGTTATAAACAGTTGTAGAATTATAAGGATCTAGTCCAGTATTTACTTGGGCGTGACTTAACCAATTAACCAATACCAACCTGTTATATGTCAGCTGGTTTATCTATGAAGATGTGATTGGTTAATTTAATTTTTTTTTCAGTTTCCTGCCTTTTATTTAAGCAAACTTCTACTATGTGTTACTTTGACCCTGATGAAGGCCACAAGCCAAAACGTGTTGGACAGTCAAAAAAGTTGTTCCTCTTCCCTTTAAGTGTTGCTGGAGTCCCTGCATTGCATACATGTGGAAGTTACAGTGAAACCAGTCATTTCTTGCACTAAATATTAGGGGCTAACTTTAACTCTTTTTAAACGTTAGACAAAGAGATGTTTGATGGACTTACTGCAGTTGATTTCATCGCTGTTGTCCCCACAATCGTCCCAGCTATCACATTGAGAAGTATTGCTGACGCACCTGTTATTGTTGCACTGGAATTTTCCTGGACAAGCTGATAAGACAAACACAAAATCAGTTCATCTATTTACCTGATTCAGAAAATATGTTAGTCTTACAAGACATGTAGATCAAGTCGATCAAGTAAATCAAGTTTTTGTTTTCCTCTCTCATGCTGACCTCCCACAAGGACCCCAGTATGAGTAGAGGTCTCTTTTTTCCCTCCTCCATTTGCCCATTGTATTGTACATTTCAATCTTTTTTTCCAAATTACTACCTGTCTCTGACCTGTCTTCCCACATCATGTCTTTGCTATATATGTATGGTCACGGGCAGAGATGGGCAGTAACGCCTTACTTGTAACAGTGACAGTGACGTAAGCGAGTGCGACGTTCGTGACAACAGCTGTGTGCAGATCAACAATGGATCATATATCGAGTGTGGGAGAGAGTATGAGCATGCAGCGTTTAAAGCGTGGAAGTACTGACCTTACTTTGAGTTTGATTCCATAAAAAGTGACAAAAACATTAGTGTCCGCTGTGTGTGGGAAGAAAACTTCTTTTTACAGCGAAAAAACCCCTAAACTTCCAACAAGCACCGAGTAGCTACGACGTAATGGGAAACTCACAGAGAAACTCGCGGATTCTTCCACACCTGCACCAGGGTAAACCTCCGCCTACCCCACTCCTGCTTTACAGGTGAAAATAGAGCAACAGGACCGCTGAGTCTTTGGTTTTATTTATTTTCTGCTGTGTTTTACTTGCATCTATTTGAAAGACTGAGTGTGAACACAAAAATATTTTATTTTATGTGCTGGAAAGAGCAGAAAATAGGTTTAAATATTAAACTAATTTCTTCTTTTTTTTTTTTTTTTTTTTTTTTTTTTTTTTTTTTAAATGACATCAGAAACAGCAGTATGCGACATTACGTGATGGCAGAGCTTCAGTTCATCCTTTGTCATTTTTTTTTTTTTTTTTTTTTTTTTTTTTTTTTTTTTTTTTTTTTTTTTTAATAAATAGGACAGGGGAATGAATGAGAGAGAGAGGGGAGAGAAAGAAAGAAAACCCAAGGGGAGAAGAGACGGTGAGAAGGGGGGGGAAGAGAGAAAAAAAAAAAAAAAAAAAAAAACTCCTGGGTCACCTGTATGGAGAAAAAACAAACAAACAAACAAACAAACAAACAAACAGAGGAGACAGCAAACAACAAAGAGCAACATAATAATAGAGAAAACAAAGCACCATCACAATAAACTAGCTAGTCATAGATATCAGTATTTACTAAGTAATAAACGATATTGTGCAGCACGCAAGATAGACAGCGCACAGTGTGCTTTGAGGCAGCAGCCAAGAAAGCTTTAGTCCGCGTCTGTGAATACCCATGTGTGCATACCTGTGTGGATCAGCATGCTTGCATTCCAAAGGTTTCTCCATGTAATGATCTGCTAGGGAGTGTGGGGGGGCCACAGCCCCGTCCTCCAGGGTGTGAAGCGGGTATGGAGGAGATCAAAACTCCAGACATCCAGAGGCCCCCAGAACACAAGAGACCATGGAAGACCAACAGAGGGGCAGCCGCGCCACTGTTCCAGTAAGAGCTGAGGAGAGTCCCAGATGAGGGCTCACTCAGCAGCCGCGGAGCAGAAGCCAGGGGGGGTTGCAGTGACGCGCCCGTGAGCTCCGCCGGCCCCCAGCTGTGCCTGAGTGACCGAGCCCTAGGCCGAGAGGCCGGGGGCACCCCACCTCCAAAGGGGCCCGAGCGAGCCCCAGGCCCCAGGCCCCGACAAGCGGCCGCCAAGGAGTGAGCCGGTGTGTACCCGGACGCCCACCCCCAGACACAAAGAACCACCAACACACCGACACCTGAGGGAGTCCGCCACCGGCAGGGGAAGTGGTGGTGGGTGGAGATAGGCCTCCAAACCTTGGAGGGCCTGAGGTGTCCCCAGAGAGGTGGCGTCTGATACCCAACCTGACATATAGACACAGACATACAGGCACACACAGACACAAACATCCATTCCCACCCTCATGCTCTCATATGCACTCACTCCACACTCAACCAACGTGGAGACAGACATAAAGAGACGCTGTACACACAATCACACTCCCCAAGCGTACTCTACAAACCGGGTCTAGGTACCCTTGCCCCTGGAGGGGGGAACTGCACCCAGACCCAGGTGGTGTTACCCTTTTCCCTGCGGTGGGGAGAGGCAGACCGCCCCGACTCCGCAGCAGCAGGGAGGCCCCACACTCCAGACCGCAGTCGGACGGCCAACTCCTCCTACTAGCCCCCCCGCTCCAGCAGGCCGCAGAGAATGGGGGTGGGAGAAGACTCCAAACCTCCCTCCACCCGCTCATTGTAGTGTTGATGCATATGTGTTCTAAGGTGCAATTAAAACCCAGGAGGGCATGGAGCTACCTGCCAAGGAGCAGCAGGTAAGCGCATGGTCCCTCCTGCTAGCCCTCAATGACTAAGTGTATTTAAAATTGAGAGGTGGGCAACGACGTCAGGGGTGAGGTATACACCCTGATGGTGATTTGGACTCCGTGATTGTGCCCACCCCCAAGATCCTATATGTATGTGTAATGAGAGTGTGAATAATGTGAATGTCTAAGTTGTGGGATAAAATTGAGGCAGAGGCAGCCAGAAGGGGACAGGGGGGGGGTAGCCTCCTCTGCACCCTGGTGACATACCCCCACTCCAAGGCCCTGCATGTGTGGGTGGTTGTGGGGGAGCGGGAAGAGGGAGGCAGCTGGAGATGGGGAGGGAAGGAAGGGAGGGGCAGGTAACCCCTCCCTGGGGCCAGCTCCCCCGCTGACCCCAGTAGGCACTCCCACCCTCCGCGACCCGCCAGGGAAGGGGGGCCCAGGCCCATCAGACCGGGGCCCAGTGCAGTAGCGCCCCCCGGCTCCACAGAGCCCTGGACAGTCCACCCAACCCCACCACAGAGAAAACTGCACCCACCCACCAACCACACATCTTCCAGACTACATAAGACGGTAAACGCCCAGGCTGAGATCTTCCTCCACCTCTCCTGTATCTCCCCCTCCTGCAGAGAGTTCCTGAGAGAAGAAAGCTCCTGCCAGATGTGACCATCCCCCCCACCAGTTGAAGAGCCCCCAGGCGGCTCGATGCACCGGCGGCACCCTGCTCCAGGGCCGGGCCCCCATGCACCCACCCGCCCACAACCCGGCAACACACCAACCAGGACCCGAGCCCCCGAGGCCCGGCCCGGGCCCCCGCCCAGAGACGGAGCACCCCCAGAACCTCACGCCCATCCCGGACCCACCCAGGGGCAGCCAGGTTGCCAGGTCAGTAACCCACGTCCGTCAGCACAGACCCTCCCCTAGCCCCGCTGCACGCAGCCGCGAGGAAACAGTCACCTGAGAGCCAACAGAGCCCTCAACCGGACGTGACCGCTACCCCGGGTTGAGCCCCCAAGGAAGATGCCTCCGGGGAACCCCCCGACGCCCTAAGCCTGTCCCTACCCCCTCACCAATCACAACAGTGAAGGCGGGACCAAACTATGACCCCCACCCCCACTAGGTGATGGAGCTGATAAAAGGGGCCCAGAGCAATTGATCTGATGTGGTGGCAGAGGCTGTGTCAAGACTAATGTAATCTAATAGATAATTTCTATATTGGTTAGAATTAAGATTATTTTTATTTTTCCAGTTCATGAGGACTGTTTTCTTGGCTATGCATAGGGCAGTGAAAATCATATGGGCGATATTCTTTTCTGAAGTGACATTATCTAAGCTGCCCAACAAACACACTAAGGGGGAAGTTGGAATGTTACATTTCAGACATTTTGATAAGTCTTCACATATCTCGCGCCAAAACTTTTGCACTGGTGGACAGAACCAAAGAGCGTGGATGTAATTGTCTGGTGTATTGCCTTGACAGTGTGAGCAGTTGTTGGAAGATGTAAAGCCCATCTTAAACATCCGATGACCTGTATAGTGCACTCTATGAAGTATTTTGTATTGTATTAATTGCAGACTGGGATTTTTAATTAATTTAAAAGTAACTAATTTCTTCCAGTCAGAGAATGGTGCATATAATTTAATTTTTGCTTGATGCATAAAGTTTAAAAAGATTAAAACTAATAAAACAAGTTTAAAAAAAAGAGACTTTTCCATTTGATTACATTTTATATGATGGATTATGCAGAAAAAGTAGAATTGGGCTGAAAGATCTATCGCTCTATCACCTATTCAGGCTGTAAATCGTGTTTTTAAAAAGTAACTAAGTAATTAATTAATTTTGAAAATAAGTAATCAGTAAAGTAACGGGATTACCTTTTTGGGGAAGTAATCAGTAATTAGTTACTGATTACTTTTTTCAAGTAACTTGACCAACACTGGTCACGGGTCTGTGCGTGTGTGTGTGTGTGGGATCCAATTTTGATGCAGGTGTAAACATTGCATGTAACAAATAAAAGGCTTGATTGATTAAACTTTACAAAAAGACAAGTTTGATGAACTCACTGCAGTTGATTTCATCGCTGTTGTCACCACAATCGTCCCAGCCATTACAGTGAGAAGTATTGCTGACGCACTTGTTGTTGTTGCACTGGAACATTCCTGTACAAGCTGAAAAGTCAAACAAAAATCAGTTTATCCATTTATCTGGTTCAGAAAATGCGTTAGTCTTTCGTGTAATCACTTATTTAAAAAAGAAAAAAAATCATCTTAGTGATCGTTTGGGTTGAAGTCGTTACTCATCAGTGAAACCCTGGTTTATACATAGAATGAGTTAAGCTAAGTGTTGATTATGTTGTTTGTTGCTTTTGATGGTGACCACTATACTTTACATATATATTTATCTCAGTAAGTACAAATAATGGATCGCATTTATATAGCGCTTTTCGGGGCCCTCAAAGCGCTTTACAATTGCACTATTCATTCACACACTGGTGGAGGCAGCTACAGTTGTAGCCACAGCTGCCCTGGGGCAGACTGACAGAAGCCAGGCTGCCATACTGCGCCATCGGCCCCTCTGGCCATCACCAGTAGGTGGTAGGTGAAGTGTCTTACCCAAGGACACAATGACTGAGACTGTCCGAGCCGGGGCTCGAACCAGCAACCTTCCGGTTACAAGACGAACTGCCAACTCTTGAGCGACGATCGCCCAAAGCAGAATAGTTTTAATTTCTGCTGGTCTTGATACAGTTTTCTTTATCTGTGTTGTCACCATAGAGATCCAACCCATGACACAGGCATTATTTTGGTTTATATGGACTTTTTTTTATATTGTATCTTAGAAGTATCCCACCCTAAGCTGACACTCCAAAAGATGGGCTAGTAAAGAACGGACTTAGATAGACTGAGTGTGACTGCCAGTTCTTCTTAAACAATTTCTAGTTGAGATTTAGTCCACATTTGCTGCTAAACCTTCCTTTTAGACTTCACAAAAGGAGAAGTTTGATGGACTCACTGCAGTTGATTTCATCACTGTTGTCCCCACAATTGTCCCAGCCGTCACATTGAGAAGTCTTGCTGACGCACCTGCTATTGCTGCACTGGAACATTCCTGTACAATCTAAAAAGACAAAAAAAATCAGTTTATCTATTTACCTGGTTCAGAAAATCTGTTACTTTTTCCATGTAAACATTCATTTTAAAAAGAAAAAAAATCATCTTAGCGATCACTTGGGTTGAAGTCAGTACTCATCAGTGAAATCCTGCTTGAGATGTGGAACAAGTCAAAACTTAAACTTAGTAGTCATTATGTTGTTTTTTGCTTTTGACAGTGACCGTTATACTGTAGATGCACATTTATCTCAGTAAAAAACAAATCCACATTTGGTGCTAAACCTTCTTTAACTCTTTTTAGACTTTAGACAATGAGAAGTTTGATGGACTCACTGCAGTTGATTTCATCGCTGTTGTCACCACAATCGTCCCAGCCGTCACATTGAAAACTCTTGCTGACGCACTTGTTATTGCTGCACTGGAATCTTCCTGGACAAGCTGATAAGACAAAAAAAAATCAGTTAATCTATTTACCTGGTTTCTACCTACTTTAGAAATTGCTGCAGTCCTTCAGTCAAACTTTTTTTTTTAAAGACAAAAATATCTTAGCAATCAGTTGGGTTGAAGTCCACAATGAAATGCTGGGTGACACCTAAGAGGAGTTTGAGTTAAACTTAGTGGTCAGCATGTTGCTTGTTGATTTTTTTGAAGATCATTATATAGCATTACAGCACAAGGTGAGCAGACTGGACATATTGCGCAAATGCAAGAAGGTTACAACTCATCCTCTTATGGCCTCTGAGAATGGACTCATCTCTGTGCTTGTCCTTCTAGACCTCAGATCAGTGTTAGATACAAATGAATATCTGCTTTTCTCTGGTCTACGGAGCTTGGAAAGAAAAGCATCTGGATTTCTTTAAGTTTCCTTATAGACTCTGCTAAATACCTTCAAAAAATTACTGTCTGTACTTTTCACATTTCACATATGTGGCATACAGGCGATCGTGGCTCAAGAGTTGGCAGCTCGTCTTGTGATTGGAAGGTTGCCAGTTCGAGCCCCGGCTCGGACAGTCTCAGTCGTTGTGTCCTTGGGTAAGACACTTCACCTACCGCCTACTGGTGATGGCCAGAGGGGCCGATGGTGCGATATGGCAGCCTGGCTTCTGTCAGTCTGCCCCAGGGCAGCTGTGGCTACAACTGTAGCTGCCGCCACCGGTGTGTGAATGAATAGTGCAATTGTAAAGCGCTATATAAATGGAACCCGTTGTTATATGCATTTTCGTCACATATTCCCAGTGAAAATATTTGTTTTTAAAAAGAAAACAAACAAAACAATACAAATTGTATCTGAATTTACTTTGTTTAGCCAAAGGAATCTGGGAGTAGCTTGCTTCAAAACCAGGGAAGTTTTCCTTCTCATTTGTGACCAGCGTCAGTAACATGACATTTCCAGAAGAGAAGAAGGACAATGACTTTTGAGGATTCCCACACTGTCTGAGAAAAGAACACAGAGACAGAAAGGTTAACCTTTAAAGAGGAACTTTACAGAAGCCTGAAAAGCCTGTTTTATTTCTGATAACACACAGCAGAGATACCACAGTCCTGGGGCAGGATGCATAAAGGATGTGTGTGAACAAAATTCCTCTTCTTGAACATACACTGGAATTTATAGTAAAAGACTGGTGTTTTAAAAATACACAGCTATCCCATATAGTTTAGACAAGGTTTATACATGGTTTTGTTATGTTTTTTTATAATTGTCTTTTTACGTAAGTTAAACAGGAATTAAAGAAGTTTGCATTTAATTTCCAAACACATCTACTTCATTGTGAATGTTATAATTCCATCAATTAAAAAATTTGTGCATGTTTCATGCATCTGGCCTGCATGGTACATCTGTGCATCCCTATAATAAGGTGAAACGTCAAACACACAGAGGTCACCAAACGCAAGACCTTCAGTTAAGATGGACATACATAAATCTTTAAATGTCTTATTTAGCCGGAAAAGGGTGGAGTGCCCACTCCGGGTCGGGGATGAGTTCCTGCCCCAAGTGGAGGAGTTCAAGTATCTCGGGGTCTTGTTCGCGAGTGATGGGAGAAGGGAGCCGGAGATCGACAGACGGATTGGGGCTGCAGCTGCAGTAATGCGGACGCTGCACCGGTCCGTCGTGGTGAAGAGGGGGCTGAGTGTAAAAGCGAAGCTCTCAATTTACCGGTCGATCTACGTCCCTACCCTCGCCTATGGCCACGAGCTGTGGGTAGTGACCGAAAGAACGAGATCGCGGATACAAGTGGCAGAAATGAGCTTCCTCCGAAGGGTGGCTGGCCTCTCCCTTAGAGATAGGGTGAGAAGTTCGGCCATCCTGGAGGGGCTCAGAGTAGAGCAGCTGCTGCTCCACATCGAAAGGAGCCAGCTGAGGTGGTTCGGGCATCTGACAAGGATGCCTCCTGGGCGCCTCCTTGGTGAGGTGTTCCAGGCATGTCCCACCGGGAAGGATGCCCCAGGGGCAGACCCGGGACACACTGGAGAGATTATATCTCTCGGCTGGCCTGGGAACACCTTGGTATTCCCCCGGATAAGCTGGAGGAGGTGGCTGGGGAGAGGGAGGTCTGGGCCTCTTTGCTTAGGCTGCTGCCCCCGCGACCCGGTCCCGGATAAAGCGGATGAAGATGGATGGATGGATGTCTTATTTTTTCTGACCTAAAAACCCAAACATTCAGTCTACTCAGGCAACAAACAGAAACTTTGAGGTAACTGACAGTTTAAATTCTGGGAGAGGGATTATTTGTCTCACTCTGTCAGAGCACGTTTCTCTATGGGAGCCAGCGAATCATAGGCTTTGATGAAGTCGCGCTGACAGTCGTCCTCCAAGATCAGAGTGTGAAAGTCGAGCCTAACTCGGTGGCCGGGTTCCGCCCGAAGCCTCCACTGGAAGTTGGCATTTGGAGGATAAGGATAGTCTGGAAACCCCGGAGAATGCACAATTCCACGATTCCTGACATGGATGTTGAAGAACTTCCTCTCTAAAAATATGTTAACAAAGTAACATTGCATCATTGTTACTGTGCAACAAGATATGAAGGTCTTATGCTTTGTAACGTATTCACCTAAATAAATAGACTCTTTTACATTTTGAGGCAACTTAAATCTGTTTTAAATTATTTTAAGAAAATTTAAGCTTTACATTTAGAAATGCTTGAAGAAAACCCAGTACTCACTAGTTAATTTGGACCTGGTCAAGCGTGGATCTATAACTGTAAACACAAAGATAAATGTATTAGTAAATCACATAGATAATAAACTTTGCAGTCCTAAACACCTCTCTGCTTCTTCTCTCCTCCTGTTAAAATTGTGGCCATTTGAAAAAATAAATAACTTGTAACCATTTTACAGATGTAACATTATCTACAGCTAATTTCACTACCATTGGTAATTATTTAGAGTCTTTTTATTCAATTGATCTTTCTGAGTTAACTTCAGTAATTACTTCCTCCAATACCCATTCCTACAAGACTGCTCAGGGAAGTCCTACCATTAATTAATGTTAATGAAAAGTTTCAGGTTTCAGAGCTCATCACAGCACAGAAACAGCTTTAGTGAAGGTTACAAATCATCCTCTTATGGCCTCTGACAGTGGACTCATCTGTGTGGTTGTGCTAGACCTCAGTGAAGCATTCAATACTGTTAACCATAAAATATTATTACCGTGATTAGAACATGCTGTAGGTATTACAGGTACTGTGCTGCAGTGGTTTGAATCATATCTATCTAATAGACTCCAGTTTGTGCATGTAAATGGAGAGTCCTCTTCACACACTGAGGTTAATGAAGCGCCTTGAGGCGACTTATGTTGTGATTTGGCGCTATATAAATAAAATTGAATTGAATTGAATTAATTATGGAGTTCCACAAGGTTCAGTGCTAGGACCAATTCTGTTTACATTATACATGCTTCCCTTAGGCAGCATCATTAGAAGACATAGCATACATTTTCACTGCTATGCAGATGACACCCAGCTCTGTCTGTCCATGAAGCCAGATAACACACACCAATGAGTTAAACTGCAGGAATGTCTTAAAGACATAAAGACCTGGATGGCCGCTAACTTTCTGCTTCTTAATTCAGATCAAACTGAGGTTATTGTACTTGGCCCTGAAAAGCTTAGAAATATGGTATCTAAGCAGATTATTACTCTGGATGCTATTACTTTGGCCTCCAGTAACGCTGTGAGGAACCTTTTTTGACCAGGACATGTCCTTCAATGTGCATATCAAAAAATATCTAAGCCTCCTTTATTTGCACAATATCTCTATTATTAATTCATTAAATCTCAAAGTGACACTGAAAAACTAGTTCATGCATTTATTATTTCTAGGCCAGATGATTTCATCTTATAATCAGAAAGTCCTAAAAACTCCCTGAAAAGCCTTCAGCTAATCCAAAATGCTGCAGCAAGAGTCCTGACAGGGACTAGAAAGAGAGAGCAGATTTCTCCTATATTAGCTCCTTGTTAAATCTAGAATAAAATTGAAAATCCTCTCTTAAATAATCAGGCCCCATCTTATCTTAATGACCTTGTAGTACCATATCACCCTATTAGAGCACTTCGCTCTCGCTCTGCAGGCCTACTTGTTGTTCCTAGAGTATTTAAAAGTAGAATGGGAGGCAGATGACATTGACTGTGACAGAAGTTATAAGTGTAAGTAGTAAAATCACAGTCTAATGTGGATGGAAAGATGGCGCTGTCTAGTCCATGTGACACTGCGAGTATTTCACCTGCTAATATACTGCATACAACCTTCTTGACTCTCACAACCATGCAAGGGGTGAGAACTTTCCACCTCACCCCATTAAGTTAATACAGTGTCCTCGCTGAGTGCTCTTGTCTGAGGCTCCACTAAACACAATTAACTTCAAGGCACACATACTGCCTAAGTGCTGTAAGTGCAAAACAAACATTGCAGTTTACTGAGTATATAGCATGCTTCATGCAAAGTGTACACAGTCTCCTTTTTTTTTCCACGTAGTTGCTTGCGTCAAACTTTACATCTATCAAATTTAGTAGTTTTACTAATTTACTAGGAGGCATTAGTAGGCCATTATTCTTCTTGCAAGAAAGCGAATTTTGCTTCCCAGCTCATCGTCATCAAAATATATGGACTGCATATGCTGAATGTAGCTTCCCTGGTGTATTTTCACTTGTCAGATCTGAGCACGCTGTGAGAAGTAACTCACTTTTGCATTCAAACATGCAGTGCCAAACAGTTTAATAGCCAAAACAACATTGAACAGCACTATCTTGCACACAAGACTGTATTGTTGTTCAAGGTCTATGGATGTAGGTTGCCGTGCTTACATTGAGACTCTCCTTATCAAAAGATACCAATGATGCTTGTAAGTATAATACTTATGATTCATATTTATGAACCATTACAAGCACAACAATTATCGTGTTTGATCATTTTTTCTCTTAACAATTGCATTCTTTCTTACTCAGTTTTGGATTTCTCAATGATTTCACATTATCTCAATTATGGCAAATTTATTGAAAAGATGTAGGATCCATCCATCCATCTTCTTCCGCTTATCCGGGAATGGGTTGTGGAGGCAGGAGCCTAAGCAGAGAAGTCCAGACCTCCCTCTCCCCAGCCACCTCCTCCAACTTATCCGGGGGAACACCAAGGCATTCCTAGGCCAGCCGAGAGATATAATCTCTCCAGCGTGTCCTGGGTCTGCCCTGGGGCATCCTTCACGTCGGACATGTTCGGGGCACCTCGCCCAGGAGGCATCCTTGTCAGATGCCTAAACCACCTCAGCTGGCTCCTTTCAATGTGGAGGAGCAGCGGCTCCTCCCGGATGGCCGAACTTCTCACCCTATCACCAAGGGAGAGGCCAGCCACCCTTCGAAGGAAGCTCACTTTGTATGATCTTGTTCTTTCAGTCACTAGATGTAGGATTTGTTTGGCAATAAAGTTGGTAACAAACGATGAAAAAACCTGTGGAAAACTGAACTTAATAAATCTGTGAGCTGTCAAACCTTGTGAGATGATGCTGCTGATGTTCAGGGTGTCACTGGGTTTCAGCAGCCCTTGTCCCTGTTGGCTCCATTCACTTTCTGCTGGAGGCTCCAGAGATTCAATGGCTTCATCCACAGTGGTCCGTTCAGGGACGGGGACATCAAACTCCGACTCATAATACACCACAATGCTGTTGTCCCCGCTGTCACCCTCACTGCTCCACAAAACACAGAGAGGATTTATACAGACTTTATTTTTAAAGTGCCCCACTGAACAAGAGAGTTCAGTATTTTAGGTACAAACCAATCCACCATATTAAAACCAATCATACTCTGCAGAATCCCGAATGGAGCTGCAATGCCAAACTTAGCAATGGAAGACACACCTGAGTGACGGGCTGAGGTTGAACACCAACAAGACTGAGTACTTAGAAGCCGGCCCCCAAACCAACCGGAACATCAGCGTTGATGGAAAAGATCTGGCGAAGGTGTCTCACTTCAAGTACCTCGGATCGATGATCAGCAACGATGGCAGCATCCTGCCAGAAGTACAAGCCAGGATTAATGCGGCCTGGATGAAGTGGCGCTAAGTCACTGGTGTTCTGTGTGACCGACGAATCCCCGACTGCCTCAAGTGAAATATCTACAAGAGTGTAGTGCGCCCTGTGGCCCTTGATGGATCCGAATGTTGGCCGGCAACCGCAACGCACGAACAGGCCCTTCCCACAATGGAAATGCGGTTGCTGCGATGGTGCCTGGGCCTGACACGATGGGACCACATCATGAACATCAGCATCCGAAAGCGGCTGGGCATCACACCGATCACAGAGAAGATGCAAGGAGCGCGACTGCAATGGTATGGGCACATGGTCAGAAGTGATAAAAACTCAGTGGCAAGAACAGCACTGCGACTCAGCCCCCAAGGCCGGCGATCAAGGGGCAGACTAAAAAGGTGATGGATGGATAGAATCAAAGATGACGTGAAGAAGATAGGTGCCAACCTGAACGATGCCCTTGATCGTGCTGAATGGAGGCGGCTTTGCAGAAAAGCGGATCCGGCAGAGTGGCAATAATGCTAGGAGGAAGAAGATCAAATCATCTGCAGATTCATAAACTTTTGCATGTATAACCAGCACAGAAACTGGGTGGGGCTACATGGCATAGGTTTCCATGGCCAAGGCACTCCTGTAGCTGCAATGTATTGATGTCTCAATACTTTTGTGTATAATGTATCTACGCATGCCTCTGAGCATTACTGAGCCCCGGGCACACAGCAGTGATTGTCCTTCCTTTGACCTTTTGGTCAGAACGAACTACTGGATATCAGGAGCAAGCAACAGACCAGCTGTTCTGGAAGTGCAGTCATAACCATTACATCTTGATACATGTCAGAGTTGCACTGACTCTAATCCATCTTAGGAAACATTACCTTCAAGAACTGACAGTTCAGCACCCTAACATCTTTAACTAGATAAGCTGATCACAGTGAACAAATGACAAACACACAACACTTAGCAGTCAGCATGACACCATGGCCAACTGACAGGCACAGTCAAGTTCCTGTTTCACAGTACCTGAAGGCCTGGACGGAGTTGCGGTTGAAGTATTTGGCCAGCACTGAGTTTTTGGAGTAAATCAGTTTGAGCTGAAAGAGAAAAAAGTCACACATCATTGCAGTGACTTCCTTTAATTGCCTCAACAAAGACAGAAACACACAACAGAGGAAGCCACAGGTTTGTGATAACATCAAGATTACAATACAGATTCATAGCAAGCAGTCATTTTGATCCAAATCGACAGGATGGCATGGCGCGTTATCTTTATGGAAGCATCAGAAGGTAGGTACACTGTAGTCATAAAGAGACTGTAACAATCCTCAGACAGGCTGTGGTGTTTAAATGATGTCCAGTTGGTACGAAGTGGTCCAAGATGTATCAAGAAAATATCCCCCACATCATTATAGCACCAGCAGCCTGAAGTGTTGACAGAAGGGATGATGGAGTCATGGTTTCCTGTTGTTTTACACCAAATTCTGACCCAAATGTCACAACAGAGACTTAGAACTCAAGACTTTTTGAATTTCTTAGAGTTGATTTTACAGGCCAATTTATGAAACTGTATGCGAATAGAACTTTAGGATTGTTGTAATCTCACAATAAATGCTTTTATAGTGCTTAACAAATTTATTCGGCCACCATCCACCCTAAGGTTTATGCCGCAGTTGCCCCGAATTAGCAGCATCGGTAATTACCCAAATTATTTTTTATGTTTCCCCCATGGTTAGTCAACCAGTATCAGCAGGCTCTGTGACAAAAATTCTATATTTTTTCATCTTAATGCCATTTTTTATGTCATTGAGATGCTAAATTACTGTTATTTACTTTTGTTGGTGTTTTAGTGGTTGAATGTTATGCTTGATTAATTTCTGACTTGTGACAGTGTGCTGCCTCAAATTTGGGTATAAAAATGTCAATTCAGTTGGAAATTCCTCACTGTTGTTCAAAATGGTCAAATATAAAGAACTCCCTGAAAAGGAAACCGTCTGCATTAAAGCACTTTGTGATGCTGCTCTTTCTCACTTTTATGACAGGTGTGTATATTTCATACTACTCTTCTTTGTTTCCTGAATAATTCTTTCTTCACAAGATAAAAACTGGAATCATCATAAAGTCCATAACGTGTCATAAAGCATATATGCTGTGAGTCTGTTAGGTCTCACCTGTTGGCTGACTTGAGCGGCCAGCTGAGTAAACTCTGAGCTGCTGGGATCTTCATGCTCTGGCAGGAATCGCTGGTTGCTGATTCCCATGGAGCCGATGTAAATTCTCTGCACCGTGTCATTGTTGTGTACTAAAGACACACAAAATGTTTAAAATATTTTATACACAACCTGGAATTTTTTCAAAATTTACTCAACTAAATTGAAAAAGTTCATTTTTGAACACTTAGATAAAAAATGTCACAGTTAGCTGTGAAAGCATGTTTTTCAGAAAAGTTACCCGAGTTATACCAAAACCTTCAACTGCAGCAAGTTTCACTTTATATTAACAGGAACTAATACAAAATATTTGTGGGAAAGTAACACACAGACCATAATACAGCACATACACAAATATTAGAATACTTAATATTGAAACACAGCCTCCATCATGACTTGTGATAGTTTGAAGAACTGCAATTATATAGCAAATAGAGAAATGAATGTGTTATCAAAACTGGCTGCAGTGGGGAATTGTTTTGCCATTAGCTTATAGTCAGCAGTAGACTGATTACAGAACGAGCCATCCTTTATTTACAGTTCTCCCATCATCCTGGAAAGAAGGTTCATGTTCTCTGTAACCCCCACAAATGTGGCATTGATAGAAAACCCAGCATGTCCTCTTGACAGTACGATAGGACTGAAATAGATTGTGTAAAAGGTGAATGACATAGAGGTCTCGGATTCATGTCCTACACAGAAGACAAAAATGAATTGCTGGGTCTTAACCTGACTTGACTGCTGTCACTTTTTAGTTATGGGGTCACAAATGCCAGCTCTGCAAAATGAATCTGAAAGGACTGCACACAACAGCAAAGTTCAAATTCTAGTTAGTGTCCTTATTTTATATTTGGTTCCATTTTTATCTATTTACTTATCTTTTAGTTATATATATATATCTGTTCTTGGTAAGTTTGTTCTTATATTCCCTTTTATTGTAGTGTAATTAGTGCCTTCAACCTGCTGAGATATGTGGTACTTTGTTAAAGAGCATTTTATTTAATCATGTCTTAATTTCCCTGTTTCTATTGTAAAGGGCGTTGGTGTACTGTTGGTTTTTTAAATGTGCTATATAAATAAAGTTGTATTGTATTATGTTGTATAAAGGCAGCTTACAGTGAAAGGGCCAGGGCAGCAGTTGACTCATCACAAGCAGAATAGCGACTGCTATCAGCAGGGTGACTCCTATCCACACCTTCATCCTGCAGAGATGAAGTTACGTAAACAGTTACAGTTTATGTAACTGTAGACAGAGAGGGAGACCACTGTTAGAGTTTATCAGTTGTTACAGACTAAAAAATATTCCACTGAAATACAAAAAATGGTATTATGAGGAAGACAATGACACGCAGACACTGCAGAACTGAAGACGGCATACAAGGACTTTATCAGCCACAGAGTGCTGCAAGGATATTTAAAGGAACACATACAAGATTTGGCTATTAAAACATTTAAGCTATGACAAATATGAACTACGAAAGGAAGCCTTTAAAGGGACACTGACCACAACAACAACAAGAAAAAGATATTTGAGGAGTGCCTTGAAATTTTAGATGAAGTAAAGTGTAGCATCAATGATGACAGAATGTTAACAGGTTTTCAAGACTATGCACACATATCTGTCTAACACAGCTATAGGGTCGGGCTGCATGTCTGCATTTCTTTTCAGAACATTTGCAGAGGAACCCACTGCAGCCCAGCACAGATGCATTTAGTTCTTTGTTGACTGAGACACTGTGCTGTGCTTTATAACGCCTGTAGAAGAAATCACAGCACAGGTGGTGCCATCTCCACAACGATGCACTTTGTTCTAAAGTGTCTGCATATGCCACTGACTGTAGTTCTGCCTTTAATATGATTTATATTCATATTGTGCTTAGCAAAAAGGATTAACCTTCAGCTGAACAATTCTTTATTAGGAGGTATCACACCTTTTATGAAAAGGAAGTGAAATGTAATTCAGTTTTATGTGACATCACAAGTAGCACAGTGTCACAGAACGGCTGTGCGCAGGCAGGAAAGGACCCAAACACAGACTTCACGGAGGCGAAATGTAAACTCAAAAGCAGCTTTATTGCTGACACAAGGGAAATGATACCAAACTATACTGGGGCATGTCTGTGAACTAGTAAATGAAGAGGCACACTGGGAAACACACAGCCATGAATGAGGGAGATCGCAACGCTGGACAGAAGAAAACAAAAGACCTTAATACACAGGGAATGACGAGGGAACAGGAAACTCATGGGGAACACAGTTGGGGCAAATTACACACAACTAGTGATGGGAACTCAGGCTCTTTTTAGAGAGCCGGCTCTTTTGGCTCCCAACCGGCTCTTCAGGTTGTTTTGTTGCTTTAATTAATTTATTATCAACAACAATATGAAATTATGCACAAAAGGAATTCCGGGTTGGGAAGCTTATCTTGTAACCAGAAGGTTGCTGGTTCGATCCCCAGCTCTGTCTGTCTTGGTCATTGTGTCCTTGGGCAAGACACTTTATCTGCCGCCTACTGGTGTTTGCCAGAGGGGTCGATGGCGCGATATGGCAGCCTCGCTTCTGTCAGTCTGCCCCAGGGCAGCTGTGGCTGCAACTGTAGCTGCCTCCACCAGTGTGTGAATGTGAGAGTGAATGAATAGTGGCATTGTAAAGCACTTTGAGGGTCTCGAAAAGCGCTTTATGAATACAATCCATTATTATTACTAATGTAAAAACAAACATATAAATCTAAACGGTGGCCCCTGGAGACAAAACACAGAGAGAAAGAGAGCCAGGGACAACAACCAGAGACAACATAGTCACATTAGAAAGGTATAGTAATCGTCCGTGTTGATCATCCACAATTATTTTCAGTTGCAAATGATAAAGGATTCAGAAGGTTTATTCATGCAGTGAATCCTATGTATGCAATTCCAAGCAGGAAAACACTCTCACAGTTTAATTTATATTTAATTGTGTTGTGGTTTGCAGTGTTTTGTGTTGTTTCACTTTAAATTTGTTTAAAAGGAAAAAGCTGAAAATTTAAATAGTTAAAAGTTGAAATGTAAATACTTGGTTTTTGTATTTTATAATTTATTTATTACATTTTATGTGGAGTGAATAAATACAAGTATATTTACGGTGGCCCCTACAGACAAAGCACGTACAAACTTCAAAACAACACAAAACACTGCAAACCACAACACAATAAAATATAAATGAAAAGATGCAAAGAAGATGCACATTCTCTGTCACATAGGGAGAGTGTTTTCCTGCTTGGAATTACATACATAGGATTCACTGCATGAATAAACTTTCTGAATCCTTTATCATCCACAAATGAAAATAGTTGTGGATGATTACTATACTCTTCTGATGTGACGTTGTTGTCCCTGCTCTCTTTCTCTCTCTTTAACTCCCACTCTGTTCCTGTGCTACTGCGAGCGTAACCACGGCCCCTTCCCCCCTCTGCACTAGAGACCTAGACACTAGAGAATGAACTTAAGACTACCAAAGAGGACTTAAACATGAAACATAATACAAAATGACATCAAAAAACAAGAAAACTCAAAACACTGGGTCAAGTAACCCAGGATGGTGACACACAGGGATTAGTTTACCTCCTTTGTTTAATCCTGTGAAGCAAGAGAGGAAAGGTTCATGTCATAACCATCATTTGCACATTTTTGAATGGAAAGTAGAAGAAATGAGCCATTTTTCTTTTACCTATTCTAAAAAATTGTTACAGCTAAGCAAGATGGGGGAAAAGTTTAACAACTATTTGGGAAATTGTCATTTTTAAAGTAAACTATAGTGATATTCATCGGTGACTGCCAACAACAGGCAACTCATTGGAATCCTTTATGAGAAAGACTATAAGACTGTGCACAGACTATTTCCTGGTGTATAAACAGCTGAGAGGAGGAACCACATGCATCCTTTAAATGCCTGTGCAGTTATATTCGGTTCAATGTTATTCATACAGCACTAAATCTTAACAGTCACCTAAAAGTCCTTTGTACAGAACCTCTAATACAGGCTAGTATGTCCACCTGGTAATACGGTAGATTTTTAATATCAATTTTGCATTCAATAAAGAGGGCCACTGCTATCCATACCAACAGACCTGGATAAATCTGTAATCAGGTCTTTGGAAAACACCTGACCAACTCAAGAAACCAACTGAACTGAAACACACAAAACCTCAGCATCTGAATTCAAGCATTTCACAAAATGTGACGCATATCAGTAAACCACAAACAGTCAAAGTGGAAACACCAGAATAATTTCTAAACAAAGTACAGCATGGAAAGCGAGCAGTACAACACATGCATAAGTGCATGCGGTTTATGAGGGTTTGAGAATGAGCCTGATGATCTGAAAGAAGCTGAGGTCCAAAAAGAGATGCAGATAAGAGACCGCGCACGGCCACTACTCAAGATCAGCTCAGATATTTGCTTCTGACAAAAAACAAAACGTATGAAAAATATAACTAATACTAAAACTAAAAGCAAACTAAAGTCAAATGTTTTTAATAATAAAAACTGAAATGATTCTGGAAACTTACTGAAAGAGAAAAAATAATAAATAAATATGCAAATATAAGAGATAAATGTAATAATGCTACAAAATAATCTTGTGTTTTAAAATAGCTCATTTGATTGAAAGATTTCAATATTTCTTCGTTTGAAGCACAGAACATCCTACTTGTCCATTACTTCTGTCAGTGTGGGAGCAGCACTGCAGAGATCCAGCTACAACCATTCTCATCCAGCAACCACTCGCACCTGGATGTTGTGCGATATAGTTTGCTGTGTTTAATATATCTTCCTACCCACCCTGGAGTAGGAAATTTCAATCATTCTTTGAGCTAAGCAGCAGGCTCTAGTTTGTATATACTGGTCTTGATTGTATATATTTCTGTCTTACTATTTATGTTTTATTCCTGCACAGTTCCCTCGGAGCACCCATAAATTTGTTTTACATGTACAATGAAAATAAAGGGCTACTCTTCTTCCTCATTGTCACAGCAACACTATGCTACTGACATGTGCATTTAAATAGTTTTTGCGTAATAACTATTATAGGCTGATTAGTCATGTGATCAGTGCTACATATGATTACCTGCTACTGACAAATACATTCCTTTATTCTATAAAAATACTGCACCTGCATTTATTTAGAGTTTGTGTTCGGTTGGATAGAATTGGGACACGTCTCTGGAAACCATCCAACCTCTCCTGACTACCAGCAATGCAAATTTGTCCTCTGTAGAGCACCTTTCTAAACCTGAATATCTCCCATGCACTGCATACTACAGAATCGCCTCCTTTTGGTATCTACAGAGGACATTTAGGGCTTTCCAATGATACCAAATGTGAAGGGGTGGAGCTTTGGGAACTTTAGTTTTTCCATTAAGGAACATGGCAGCCATCGCTGCAAGCACATTTTATGGGAAGAAGAAAAGTAAGTGCATAAAACTTCTTATTGAGCAATTTTTAGCTATAAATGTTGTTAGCATATTTTAAACAAGTCTCTTAATAACACATTAAAACATAGTATGCTTAATTCTAACTTCAGTTTAGTATAGTATTGAAGTGTTTAAAAAATGGCCTCCATAGTGGACATTTGTAGTCATTTCTTCCATTTTGTTCTGTTTTTTTAAATGACCAGAAAAGGAGTCCTTTTTAGAAGCAGAAAGAAACTTATTGCAGTTTGATGAGGGAAAGAATGATGCAGGAAAACAAGGCAGGAAAAAAATAAATACAATGAAACAATTTGAGGGTGAAATACAAATGTAAAATCAAAAGGAGTCAAAAATGTCCATTTATATTTTGTTATTTTGTATCTCAGAGGGTTAACCTAACAAAGTTAGTCATGAAAAGTTAGGTTTAGATTTTTGTTCATGACGCTGCAGATTTCTGACATTTTGTGTAAATTTAAGCATGTACAATTTGTTTTTTTTCTAACAAAAACAGTGTGAAACTGAAGTTAGAATTGTGTTTGTAAAGCAACCACCCCATGTTCTGTTGCTTTCTGGATTTTATACTTATTGGGCTACATATTTAGTCATTTATTATATAGGCTATACCAGCGGTCCCCAACCCCCGGGCCTCGGACCGGTACCGGTCTGTGAGTCGTTTGGTACCGGGCCGCGAGAGTTGAGGCTCAGGTGTGAAATGTATAGTTTTCAGGGTTTTTATCGGTTTTCAGCGTTATTTTGTTATCGTTTTTATCGTTTACTCGGTTTTCCTGGGTCTTTTCACGTGTGAATAAATCTTCTTTTTTACGGTACCGGAACTAGTTTTATTTTGTTGTATTTATCCGCGACACCTTAAAGGCTGGTCCGTGAAAATATTGTCGGGCATGAACCGGTCCGTGGCGCGAAAAAGGTTGGAGACCGCTGGGCTATACAGTACATAAAATCAAAATTTGCATGTGTTATGTAACTAAAGTGTTTAATTATATGGGCTACAGAAAATAATTCAGTTATAGACTATATTTATATGAAAAACGTGTATACTTACTGTAATTGAATCATTTTAACCATATGCAACCACCTGCATATGTGTTTGAAAAAAAAAGACACCCTATTTGACTTCCCTCATGATGCTGGCACCCTCATGCCACCCTAAGAAAATTTCTCTAGATCCGCCCCTGGATAAGGCATTTAGTCTGTAATGGTGATCCTGGTAACTTAACACAGCTAAATTTCCTGGGAGCAGAAACAGCTGGAAGGTGGCTGTGAGTGGGAGAAGCGCTGTAAACGGTGAAATTTCTCAGAACGTCTGTTTTTTTAATTGAAAATTTACCTGAATGTAACGTGGGACAATGTTCCCTCAGTGCTCCCCTGTTAGCTGGGTAGTGTTCTGTATTAGGAAGTGTTTCAATCCTTTTGCACATTGACGTGGAAAGCCTTGATTAGAGAGGATGCCCACTCCTGCTGTGTGGTTTAATCAAACAGGGAAGTTGAGCAGGTGCCGGTTACACCATTTTCAGGGTAGCATGTATGAAACATCCCATAACTGACCGAATTTAGAAAGTTTAATGCGTTTTGTAATATTTACATTGATACTCTAGATATTGGCAGTTGACCGTGGTGCTCAAACCTTTTAATTCAGCTACTATTGTTGTTTGTTTTTTTAATAATATATTATCCTCATTTTTAAATCAAGGCGTAGGCCTGTTTTGTGATATTCATGGCTTCTAGACTTCAGGAAGTCATCGACTGCAAATGATATTCATCCAAGTATTAAAAACAATGCTTATATTTAAAAACTATGTTTGTTAATTTTGTTACTCTGTTTATAAAAACGGTTGTTATTCCTTATAATTTACTAAGAACTTGTATTTATTAAAAGCTTTTGAATTTAAGCTTATTTTTACTTTAATCACATCTTAACTGCTTCATTTAAAATCTGCTGAGGTGGTGTACAGAGGCAAAACTACAAAATTAGTGTCTTAATTCAACACATTATGAGCCTTCCTGTATACACGTAGGAACTGTTTCATAAAAGATTCTAAATACAGGCATGTCAAAAAAGCCAATAATTTCGGCTTTTTTATATTTTTTACAGCATTTTAAATGTACAATAAACAAAGCAGGAAAGTATTATACAGTAAACCAGAGTTAACATAATTTAGTATAAATCTGTCATACAAAAAATTATGAGCCAGGAGTAATTACTGCACTAAATTACACTTCGTTTTATACCTGTAGCAATTTATTTGAATAGAACATGCTGCTCGCCTTAATTGGATGTCCGAATTTAGGATTTGAGGGAATGAAGGCATGCATGGTGCAGAGGCTCACAAAGCTTTTGTTTGAAACTTACATACAGTTCATATTTTCTGCCTATACACAACATTGCACAGTTTAGGTCAATTCTGACCTGTGCCAAGAATTCCCTCATAAGTATCTATAGCAAATTTAGGACTGTGGATACATTTAGAACAAGCTATCTGACATTATTAAAAGGATGTTAATGTGAGTCCTTAATGTTTCAGAGGAGGGAACGTCTATCTTTTAGAATTTACAACACTTGTTATTGGAAAAAGACCACATCAAGTCCTGTTTTACTAAAGACATGACAACATAGCAGCCACAATGATTTAAATATATTTTTATCAAAAATGAAAAGTGGCATGAACGTTCTGAACCTCTCACTGCTGTATCGTCAAAAACATCCTATTACTTTCCATTTATAACAATAAATATAAGTTCAGTATTAATTAACACTTTGAAAACTAGTTTGTGCTTTCAAATCACAAACTGGGGGAGGGGGGCAAATGGCTGCTCGGCGGTCGTCATAATTTCCCCCTGTTGAATGGTCTAGTTTTAATCTCAGAATGAGCTACATTGTGGGTGATTGTCCATGCAGGTGAAACTTTAATATACTCATTTGTATATATAGCATAAATACAGAATATTTCTCTAGCTTTACTGCCCACTCAGAGCAGTTTTAACAATACCTTCATGAAGCTCTTTTATGTTTATGCTTCTAGAACATTTTACAGCCAAAGCTGATTTAGAATCACTAGTTTAACTAGTAACCTTGTTAATATGAGGCAGCGGTGCTAACCACTGCACCACCATAACACCTTTTTTTCAAATCTTGTGCCTGTTGCATCTCTGACCTCTGTAGCGCTTCAGTTTCATTTGTGCACCATATACTGTTTTACTGTTTTGACACATCATTCAAAGACCAACAGGTACATTAGAACCATCAGTCAAAGGTACAAGAGGCACCAAGTCATGAAAATACTTTAAAGGTAACTGTACCATTCAGAGAGAGTCAGAATAGATTGCTGAAGAACATTAGCAGGTTTAATCATGTTAAACATCAGATTAGTTGACTGCATGTACAAAATGAATATAATTGTATGCATTGAGACAAAAACATCAACAACTCACCTTTGACTTATTTTACAGCTCAGAGGTGTTTGTGTGGCTGACAGGTGTAGATGTAGCTCCTTGTTTTAGAAAACTTCAGCAGATGTTTAAAACTCTGCACATATGGCAGGTTGTAATCTACAGAACTAAGTCACTTTGATCCTGATACATCTGAACCAACAGGAAACAAAGTCTTTCTTCGGGGTGTGACTTCAGTTGACACATTCTCACCACCCACCACTGCTAGTGTAAAAAACTAACAAACAAAAAAAACAAAACACGAAACATGAATCGTAGTGAGATGTGCATTCATTTACTGTTGTCTGTAGTACTGGTGTGAGACTTAAGACTTGGTGTTCATGTTTGGTGTGGAAGAGAGAAAATAAAAATAACTACATGAAGGGAGAAAGAAACAAATCAATGCAAATATCAGTGAAACCGTCCAGATACAGTAAAGTCTGATCCAAAATGCTGCAGCAAGAGTCCTGACAGGGACCACAGAGAGAGAGCATATATCCCATATGTGGGCGACCGTGGCTCAGGGGGTTGGGAAGCGCATCTGTAACCGGAAGGTTACAGATGCGCTTCCCAACAGAGGCTCTCTGTCCTGGTCGTTGTGTCCTTGGGCAAGACACTTTACCCTACCGCCTACTGGCGGGCCGAAAGGGGCCGCTTCTGTCAGTCTGCCCCAGGGTAGCTGTGGCTACAACCGCAGCTTTCCTCCACCAGTGTGTAAATGCGAGAGTGAATGAATAGTGGAATTGTAAAGCGCTTTGGGTGCCTTGAAAAGCGCTGTATAAATCCAATCCATTATTATATCTCCTGTATTATCTTGTTGAACTTGTTGTTCCTAGAGTATTTAAAAGTAGAGTGGGAGGGAGAGCCTTCAGTTTTCAGGCCCCTCTTCTGTGGAACCAGCTTCCAGTTTGGATTCGGGAGACCTTGGATCTCTACATTTAAAATTAGGCTTCAAACTTTCCTTTTTGATAAATCTTATAGTCAGGCCTGGATCAGGTGTCCATTAACCCTCTCTTAGTTCTGCTGCAATAGACCTAGGCTGCTGGTGGCTTACTATGATGCAGTTTGTATTAAATAATTAATCATTGATAATGATTAAAAATAATTTTGATCTCTGGGTGTGTTGCTTTTGTCCTTTCTTCCTCCCCTCACCCCTCACCCATCAGAGCAGATGGTTGCGCCTCTCTGAGCCTGGTTTCGCCGAAGGTTCCTTCTGTTAAAATGGATGATTTTTACTGACACTGTCACCAAGTGTTTGCTCATGGGGTCGACTGATTGTTGTGGTTTTCTCTGCATTATCGTTGGTCTTTGCCTTACAATATAAAACACATCAGTTGACTGTTGTTGTGAATTTGTCTTAACTATTTAAATAAGTGAAGAGGACAACCGATTCAAAATCTCTGCACTCCTGAATGTGTGAGAGATGCATAGGAAGAAAAAAACTCTGCACATTGACTTACTTATCACTATTTTATGAGTCTCAGTGTTTTGTTCCAACTCACCTTCATGAGGTATAAAACATC